GCCTATTCCAGCAAACAACTTCGAGATCAAGCCATGCTGGATTCAGCTCATTACATCCTCTATCCAGTTCCATGGCTTGAAGGATGAGGAGGCCAGGGTGCATCTTTCCCGTTTTCTGCAGCTGACGAACGGGTTCAATCTTAATGGTGTCCCTGATGATGCAATCTGCATTCACCTTTTCCCTCGTTCTCTGGCGGGGAATGCTAAGAGGTGTTTGGAGACCCAGCCCCCATTGTCCATCACCTCTTGGAACGATCTGGCTGACAAATTCGTGCACAGGTACTATCCGGCATCAAAGACTACAGAGATCCAGCGGGAGATCACTCACTTCCGCCAAGAGCCAGACGAGTCACTTCGTGATGCATGGGAGCGATACATGGGATATTTCTGGCAGTGTCCCCATCATGGTTTCAGTGATGCATTTACAGTGGGGAACTTCTACAGTGATCTCTCTCCAGACAGCCAGAGGGTGATTGAGTCTCTATGCCTAGGAGGGGATATTCTTACTAAGACTCCACCCGAGCTGAACCAGATGATCAATACCTTGGCTGCCAGAGATCATTCTTGGGGGCAGAGCAGCAGAGGCAGACATTCCCGAGACCGTGGTGTGCACGCCATGGAGACCAGATCCGGGCTCGAGCAGCAGGTAGCTGAGCTAGTGCAGACATTGAAGCAGCCCAACAGTCTTATTCCGGACAGAGGTTTGGCTACACCTCCAGTAGCTCAATGTCAGTGGTGTGAGAGCTCAAATCACTTAGTGGAAGACTGCCAGGCTATGAGGGAGTCTACTACTCCCCAAGAGCAGTTGGACTTCATCGCCAATGCTCGGTGCCTCGACCCGTACAACAACAAATATAATGAGGGGTGGCGCCAGCATCCCAATTTCGCCTGGAGCAGCAACACCACTAAACCACCTGGTTTCCCAGCACCAGCCGGTGGTTTTCAGCAGAGGCAGCCTTTCCAGGCTAGACAGGGGCCAGCCCCACAGCAGCAGCCCTACCAGCCTAGGCAGGGGCAACCATTCCAGCAGCCCCAGCGCCAGTTTGCCGAGCCAGCACCAGCTCCAGCCCCAGATGACCGGATGACAAAGCTGGAAAATATTCTAGCTTCATTCATGACTAGCACTCAGGCAACTATCACGAGGTTGGACCAGAGCGTAGCCTCACTAGAGGCAGGCCAGAGGAACCAAGGTGCCATCTTGCAAGATCTACAGCACCAGGTGGGTATCTTGGCCCGCCAAAACACTACCAGGGCACCGGGGACTCTGCCTGCCACCACTATTCCGAATCCTCGTGATCCTCACCAGCTCTAGTAGCTGGATGCCATTTTTACCAGGAGCGGTAAGACCATTTCTGCTGATCCTGTCTCGGCCAGGCAGGAGGAACCACTACCTGCTTCAGCACTTCCAGCCGACGATGCAGGAGTGCGGGTGGAGAAGGAAGCCCCTGCTCCCAAGCCACAACCAGTGGTTAAGGAGCATGTACCCCAGCTTCCCTTCCCCACTCGCCTACACAAAGACAAGCTGGAGACTGAGTTTGCCAAGTTTATGGCAATGTTGAAGCAACTCAACATCAGCATACCGTTCGTGGAGGCACTGTCGAAGATGCCCAAGTATGCCAAGTTCATGAAAGACCTCCTCACCGACAAGAAGAAACTTGGGGATCTTTCGACAGTGATGCTCAGTGAGGAGTGTTCTGCTATCTTGCAGAACAAGCTGCCCGAAAAGTGCAAGGATCCAGGGAGTTTTACTATCCCTCTTACTATTGGCAGCATGCATGTAGGCAAGTCCTTGGCGGACCTAGGCGCTAGCATAAATGTCATGCCATATAAGTTGTACAAAAAGCTAGACCTAGGTGAACTTAGACCTACTAGGATGAGCATTCAGCTAGCTGATCATTCCATTGTGCATCCTAGGGGAATCATAGAGGATTTGCTTGTCAGTGTAGGTGCATTCACATATCCTGTTGATTTTGCTATTCTTGATATACATGAGGATGTGGACGTGCCTTTGATTCTGGGTAGACCATTTCTTGCCACCGCCAAGGCACTTATTGATGTGCATGATGGTAAACTGATCCTGCGTGCTGGGAATGAACAGGCTACTTTTTCTGTGACTGAATTTGATCACTGTGCTATGATTGCTGTCACACCTGTGCATGCCATTTCTGATCAGGTACATGAGCATGTCGTGTATCCTTCTGCACCTCTCGTTTTGCAGGACCCTCCTATCATTCCTTCGCCGCCACTCCATCCAGCCTCGCCTCCGAACAACAAGATCAAGGATGAGTGGCGGCCAAAGCAGGTTGCTAAGCCTGCACGGAAGAAGGGTGGAGACCACTATGAGCTGGTCCCACCTCCTGCACCACGACCACCCTGGCCGTCTGGGTACTCACTCTCCTGCATCTTGCCAGATGGCCAGGTCGAGCTGACCGATGATGGTGGTCGCATCCGTCGGGTGCATGGCCACAACCTGAAGCTGTACCTCAAGAGCGACGTGGATCCGCTCTTGGAGGCACCTGTTCCTTCACCTCCCTGAGTATCCACCATGGGCGTCCAGCTAAAAGACGGTAAAGAAGCGCTTGTGGAGAGGCAACCCCACCACGGTTTGACTTTCTTTCTTGTGTTTTGAGTCGGATTGTAAACCGGTTTGGTTTTGGTTTGTTTTCTTTTGTTTTGAATGATGTATTATTGGGCTGACCATTGGACCTAACATATTGTGTTTGAGCTCTTCTGTTCCCCTTTAGCTGTGCTTTGTTCCAGACTAGTCCCTCTCCAGTCCGCTTCACTCGACTGGTCCGCTTCCAGTCTCCTGCAGTCCGTGCATACCGGTAACATCGTTCCCCTTTTCCTTCCCTCTTCTCCATTGAGGGCAATGTCGATCTTAAGTGTGGGGGGATGTTTATCTGTTGACTGCATTAGATCTGTTTGTGTGCTTGGAGCCTAGTCCACTGTCCAAATTTTTAAATTTGAGGGCCCCAAGTACGTGTTTCCGTGCAATTGCCTGCTCAGTATGCTTTGAATTGACAGTCTTTATAGTAATAAGCAACCTAGGGAGGTAGTGTAGCACTATGGAGGATGTTGATGCATTTAAGAAATCTCATTTCTTCTTCATATTGTGTTGGTTGAGAATTTCGATTCTAGGATTTTGGATTGCAAAAATTCTATCTATATATAGATAGAAAAGATAAAGAATTCTAAAAAGATACCACTTTTTTTTGTTTTGCTAGGAATCATAAGTACTTCTTTTTTTATTTATTCAAAATCGTTAACTAGTGCTTTTATGATTGAGTGAATTAGTGATCTTAGGACCCTTGAATTGTGTGGTGTTGTGGACTCTCTACCTGTCATGGGCTCTTGTTTCATGTTTTGAGTTTAACAGTTGCTCGAAAATGTGCTTCAAAATAACGTCTCCCGTGCGAATAGGGCGAAAGTGTGTAAGGGGAGACGGGAATCCGTTCCCAATTTCCACCTACTACCTCCAACCCCCTTACATGTCTTTCCCCCGCACGAGGCTCGAGACATCCGCTCCTGGCATGGCCGGTAAGAGCCGGGCTCCCACAAAACCTCTGCTAGGTGGGAGCCCCCATTTTCTGAAAAGCAGGTTGGGACCCTTGAAAAAAAAAATAACAGAAAACAAGCAAAACAGAAAGAAAAGGGGTTCCAACCATCTTCAAGAAGAAAATAGAGCACCTTGAAAAATGTGAGTCCATGATCCTTTGTTTTCTGAGAATCTCTTCATCCACAATTCATTTGTCCTCTGTTCACTATTTGCCATGATGCCGACTCGATACTAGTGCTCTCGCCGAAGAAGCTATGAGATGACTTGTGCGTCGGTTGACCTCGTAAGCTGCTAAATGATCTAGGAAGTCCTCTACCTACGATCTGGGTTGTTTGTTGCTATAGAGGTCTGGAGAGTTGCATTGGTTTGAGTTAAGTTTTCTTGGGGACAAGCAAACGGTTAAGTGTGGGGGAGTTTGATAGACCGTTAATTACACATGTTTTCACCCCTGTTCTTACACCTTTTGAGATGTGGTTTCTCGTGTTTTAGATCGTTTTCACGCTAGGTTGTGCTTGTTTGTGATATTTTAGGTCCTGGCAAGTGAATAAAGGTTTAGGAGCGAGTTCGGGGTCGATTGGGCGAAGATCGGGCGCGAGGCAAGTCACAAAGGAAGCCACACGGGCACTCCCACAACCCGCACGGCCGTGCAAGTGACCAGTTTGGCCGTGTGGGATTGTGCGAGACCTCACACGGGCACAGATAATTTCCACACGGCCGTGTGAAGTTGCACTTTGGCCGTGTGGAATTCTGCGAGGCTTCACACGGCCAGGCTGGGTGAGCTACACGGCCGTGTGACCCTGGCCGTGTAAGAAGCCTGGAATTCAACTAATTGATACGCAGCGTTTGGAGCCGCACGGCCAGGCTGGGTGAGCTACATGACCGTATGGCCTGCCCGTGTGAGTCGGGATTTTCTGGTTTTAAGCCAATTTCCAGCCACAAGTCGGGGGGATTCGAGTTTTAGAGAGACAGAGCGATTCCTAGAGAGAGAAAGCGACGAACAAGAGTCTCCAAGTTCCCTAGCTTGATCTTCATCACCATTGGAGGCCAGCTTGAGCTTGGAGGAGTGCCAATCAACGCCCAGGAGCAGGAATCCATCCTTCACAGTATGAATTCCGCGTCTGATTCTGCTTTTGCTTCTTTCTCCATGGAGTAGTTCTCCCATTCATCTGGGTATGGAGAACCCTAGATTTGTATGTTAGGTTTGATTGTATGAACCCAAGTATTGATTCTATGATTTGATTATATTCAATTGAGGTTTGAATGATTGAATGGTATGAATCCTGATCAAATTCCTGTTGTTTCTGCTTTAACCTAGAATGAGAATATCTGCCTAGGTTGATAGAGCATCCTTGATTGAAGGTAGGGAGTTGGTGACTTTAGTCGAGGAGCCAACTCCCTATTCTATACCGAATTTACTTCGGTATTAGAGGTTTTGTTCGTTAGGGCCTTAATCTGTTTACTCCGGTGGAGGTTAGTCGCCCGCTAGAGACTCAGATTGAGAGGGTCTGAAGACCTTTAGTCGAGACTTCAGGCTGTTTAAGAACCTTCCGCAGTATAACTATCATAGAAACTGAACTTGGTAATTGCAATCCGGCTTAACTGCAGTCTAGGGGGAACCATATCCGGGTGACCTCTCTTAACCTGAAAACAACCGTTTACTTGCTTTGCTTGTTTGTTAGTTTAGACTTGCATTAAAGTTTCATTGCTAGATAACAAGAATTCACCGAGTAGTCATCAAATCTAGGACCCGGGTTGACATTTAAATCCAAACCCGCTATACTACACTTTAGGAAGTGGTTTCACTTGGCCAATTCCTAGAGTGACAGTAGAAGTGAGTCACGTACCTCCAGCTTGTTTCGCTCCCAACCTCGAGAAAGTGCACAGCTCTCGGTAGATCCCAGCCAATACGGCCGACCCCCAACTCTTTCCCCCGATCTCGTCCCAATCACCGAGGAGCAACGGGAACCACATGCCTTGAATCCACCGGTTTGCCTTGTTGGGGAACAGAAATCCACCAACCAATCCAATGAGGTAGACGCATGCATATCGCTCCACCCGATCTTCGGGGGTGTCTGGCCCTAAATTCACTTCATGTTGGATGTGTTCAACAAGCCACGAGATTGAAACTTGCCCCGCAGTGAGCGGTGGATGTCCAACCCCTTGAACGGGCGTTGTGGTCGGCATGTTGAACCCCAAACGCTCGAGAATCAACGGCCCCCAACCACCTTCGGGTTTACTTGAGTTGTCGATAATGGCCTCTCCAGTGACCGGCAGCCCGGTGAGTAGGGCAACATCTCTAAGGATGATCGTCATTTCCCTCTCGGGAAAGTGGAACGTATGCACTTTGGGGCGTCATCGCTCTGCCATTGCCGTAAGCATATCGTTGTCGATATCAAGCCGCATTAAATGCCTCAGCATGTGCAATCTCGTCCTCTCTAGATAGGGCTCGAGATGAGGATGCCGATTAGGCAATCGACATGTCCCTCGATGACTGATGGGAATAAGTGATTCCTACAAAACAAAAAATACAATGTTAGAAAAAAAAAACAAAAACTTTTAACCTATTGAAATAATTTAAAAATTTATACGGTACAGACAGAGTGTCTACCGGATTATTGTCCCAAATTGCACGAGAGCGATGTTCTTGCTCGTTTAATATTTGTGATCCCTTGGGCCAGGATCGATATACAAACGAGGGTCGTATATCTCAGCACCCATCTATAAACAAATATGAAATGAAATTAGAATATTTCAAACCCATTTAAAAAAACATCAAAAAGGTGGAAAAAAAATTCGTACTCTCGGAGCCTCTTCGTCCATTTTTTGCCAAAAAGCTGGAGAAAGTAACGACGAAACTTTAGAGCAAAGGATTTAAAACAAAATAAAAACTCTAGTAATTCTTTCTGATATGGAAGATCGGACTTAGCCGCAACCACAGAGCATACTTAGAACGAGACTAGAGGGAAGTAATGGAGGGAGAAAGAAGTATAAATTGGTGGTGTGGGTTGGAATGAGGGGGATGGGGTGGTATTTATAGGGGGTCATAGAGCATTCCCCGCTCTGGTCCAAAGCGGTGAAGCATTCCCCGCGATTCTCGAGGGCGGTAAAATGCGCGGATCGCTGACATGGCTTGGTTTGAGGCATCGGATCTGGGAAAAAAACCAGAATCCGCGCCTCACCGCATCTGACGGTGACAGTGAAGCGTGCGTACGACAAGGATCGATGACGTGGACAGCGCGGGCTATCACCGCTTTTGTGATTAACGGTGAAGTGCTCGCGCGTGTCCACGTCAGCGATCCGCGCCGCTTCCCCGTTTTGGACGACATCGGTGAAGGGTTCACCGTTTTTGACAAAAATGGTGAAGGGTTCACCGTTATAAACAAAGGCGGTGATAGTTTCCTCGCCTTTGTCAAAAACGGTGAACCATTCACCGTTTTTGTCAACAGCGGTGATGCAATTCACTGTCTTGGTCAGCAGCGGTGATGCCCAAACTGTTGTATTTTGGGAAATATTTTCATAAGTACTGTATTTTGGGAATTTTTTTTACTAACTAGTGTATTCTGGGATTTTTCCATATATATGTATGTTCGGCCATGTAGAGGGGTATGGTTTATTTCGGTGATAATGATATTGATTGGGAGCTTATTGCTCTCCGTAGAATAGTCATGTTCACATCGAATAAGAAAACCACATAAATAATATGCGTAATCTCCTTTACATGATTTCTGTGATTTGATCACCCGTGAAATTCTGATTTCACCTTAATGCTATAACTAGTTCCAATTTCATAGAATTCAAATTTTAGAATTGAAAATGAATTCTCTTAAATACCAAACACAAAAATGTTTCATTTCAAAATGAATTCCTCAAAATTTATAGAATTCATTTATACCAAACGGTATGTAAACATTCGATCGGATATAAGTGGAAAGATAAAATGGATGTATTTGATGAAACTTGTTCATGTATTCACAGTATCAATTGGCAAAATTGTTTTCTATACATATTTACAGAAATTTTATAGCTCTTGTTTACATATAGACAGAGAGAGCGCTAATGATTTAGAATGTTTAGGAAAGAAACTCTGGTTTTAACGAGTTTCCTATAAATACACTCCAGTTCCTCCTCATATTCCTGAAGACTCCATTCCATCCCTGCCAGTCCTTTCAAAACCTTCTGAACTTCTTCAACTGAAGTCACGGCTTTCGAATTCGACCTCAACACCATCAGTTCAGACTGCAGTTGCCCCATTTCAGTCGCCTTGTCCTGTTTGGATTTCAAGTACTTTGAAACAACACTCCACCCACGCGATTCAGCACCAGAAACCGAGCTCAGAAGGGACTCAAACGCGATGAAGCTCGCTGATTCGACTTCTTTCAGAAGCCCAAAGATGGAGTCTTCGGGTTCGGGATCTGTTGCTGCAGATTTGGTCTTCTTGGAGGATTTCAAGGTTTTGCAGGCAAGTTTCCTCAGTCTCTTGGTTGAGCTCACGAACGCGTCGATTTCACTGTTCAAGTTGCTACTTTTCCTTCTCAAAGAGGATTCGAGTAATTTCACGCAATCCTTCAATTGGGCGAGGATTTCCTTTGTGGCTCCGCAGATCTCCAGTAACCTGAGGGATTCGTTAATCAGGGATTCCTCCATGGATTGGGAGAGGGATTTCTGGGTTGTGGGCAATTGGAGCAAGTCGTCGACGCATTCGTGGAGCTCTCTGAGTATGCTCAATTGGGTGGTGGAGTCCGAGGTGGATGCGGATTCGTAGGATCTCAACCTCTCAAGCTGGACCTCGATGGCGAGGGTTGTGGGGTGAGTTCTCTTGGGTAAACTGATGGATCGGACATGGCAAGTGGCGACCATTTTGTTGTTTGGTGTAGCTGGAAATGGAGACGAGAAGATGTTTGATGAAATGTCTCTGAGATGTGCGTTGAAGCCAAACCCTCGTACTGGTCTTCTTTATATATTGGCCATTGGAGACCAGAGTTTGGTGTCCCTGTGGAATTGGGTGGCTCTCTAAATTCACAAAGTTGACTATGGGAGTTAAATATGGCTGGATCAGATCGGGTTGCTGCATGAACGACAGACAGAAGCATTATCGCTTGATGCAGAGCAAAGCTAAACGGCTATCTGATAAACACAAAGAAATGGGTTTCCTGTCGTTGTTTCCTTCTGCTCCAGCAACATGATAATCTTGAAGCTGCTGAAGGCTATATAAAATGTGATTAATTAGTCCCCATTTGGTGGGAAATGAAATACATCAGACTCCTTTGAGTAATTAAGAACTTATGGCGTTGAAACAAGTAGCTCATTATTGATAAGAAATGGCCATGGTGGGAGTGGCTCGAGTGGGAGCAGCTGGAATCTTGACAGCCTTGGAGTTCTGCATTCACAGCCAGAGCCACTGCTGCACGAGTGAGTTCATTGCATAGAATGTAATCCTCCGTTAATATATGGTAGAGTTTTGTATAATTTTCTCCATTTCAAATTTCCTACAACGAGAGTAAAAATAGGATGGACATTTTTGTCTTTACAATTAAAGATTTATTATAAATAAAAAATATCAATATCAAGATTTGAACCCGTGTCTTTTCAAATAAAGAAGACAATCATAACCAATTACACTAAATGAATTTGTTGTTTCTATTTGAATACAAAACATGCACAAAGTTAAACTCTGGAAAGTGAATGACTTTTATATCATGATCAACAAGCCCACTAAGTCTACCGTATGTATTTTTATGGTGCTTAATACTTCAATTTCCATAGTAAAGTTTCATGTAATTTTCTACATTTTAAAATTCATGCTCTCTCCTTAATTTTCGCTTAACTTAAATTTGTAATTGGCTAACATGGAAGAAACTATTTCTTTACTATATGTTGTGTCATTGCATTTTTTAATTTAAATTTAAATTTTGTACTTTTTTATCTTTGTTCTTGTCTCTTTCGAACTTCATCCGAAAGTCCCTCCATCGTGCAATAGTTTGGCCCTTTCACTTCCCAGTACAAGGGGAGCAGATCGGGTGAGTAACTAATGGGTGAGTAACCCATCAGTAACCCCTCTCTCCTCTCTCCACGTGTCAATTACTTTTTTTTTAATTAAATGCTAAAGGGCAGTAAGGTAAAATGCATTTATCTCATATTTATTGCTGACGCGCTGACGCGTTGACTTTTGACCGACCACATCAGGACCTCCTTCTCTCTCATCGAAAAACCTTTAATTTTCCTTCTCTTAATCTTTAACGGACGATTTCTCACTCGTTTTAAGTCGAAATTTAATTTTTTTTGCACAGTTAGATCAGATTAATTATGCTCTTCAAAATGATATCCACTTTGATATTTTTTTGACACAAAATTTTTTTCCAGTTATTACCAGTCTATACCATATGGTATAGTGTGGTAATATCAATATATATTTCGTTACCACCCAATACCATATGGTATAGTGTGGTAATATCACACAATACCATATGGTATAGAGTGGTAATATCAATATATATTTTGTTACCACGCAATACCATACATTAACATAGGGTATAGTGTGGTAATATCAATATATATTTCGTTACCACCCAATACCGTATGGTATAGTGTGGTAATATCAATATATATTTCGTTACCACCCAATACCATATGATATAGTGTGGTAATATCAATATATATTTCGTTACCACACAATACCATATGGTATAGTATGGTAATATCACACAATACCATATGGTATAGAGTGGTAATATCAATATATATTTCGTTACCACGCAATACCATACATTACCATAGGGTATAGTGTGGTAATATCAATATATATTTCGTTACCACCCAATACCATATGGTATAGAGTCATAATATCAATATATATTATCTAAAAGGAAAAAAAAAACAGAAGGAGGGAGAGAAAAAATCGTCTTCTGATGCCTCTCATTTCCTCTTCCTCAATCAAGAACACCAAAATGCCAAAAAAAATGAGAAAGATCGGAATTGAGGCCAACGAGTTGATGAAGAGAAGAAATGCAAAGAAAGAGAGTGGCTACAATTTTTATTCGTCGATTGCTAGAAAAAAAAATAAAGAAGGAAGAGAGCAGATCTAAATTTGAAAAGGAGATTGTGAAAGAAAAAATAAGAGAGAAGGAATAGAGAAAGAGAAAGGATCTAGAAAGAGATTGAAAGAAAAGAAGAGAGAAGGAAGAAAGTTGAGTTGCAGAGAAAATGCATTGTCTCTCTTTCATTGAAAAGTCAGCCATTGAAATGCGGAATGAATAATAAAAATTAAAAATACAAAAACGGACAAAAATGCCCCTCCCCACCCCACATCCAGCCCAGCCACATGATTGCTCCATTCCCAATCCTACGGCTCCCGTGTGGTTACTGATGGGTCAGTAACCAGTGGTTACTGACCCTATCTTGGACCGAGTACAAGGGCGCAATTGAAAATTAATCCTACATTTTAAGTTAGGCAAGTAGAAGATTTCATATCCGATATCAATCCATGTCGAATAGAATGGAGTCAATCAAGTAGTTATGATTTGAACTTCGAGTAGAAGATCAGTTGGAATTGAGTTTGAGAATGGAAGTGGTGGGGGGGGGGGGGGGGAATCGTGTTTGGATTTGGTAGCAGGTAAAGTTCCACTACAGCAGGTGAAGGCAGAGAAGACGGAGTTGGAGAGGGTAGTGAACGAATTGAGGAGGGTATTGAAAGACATGGAAGCGAAACTGGAGCAGTTAAAGAGAGAGAAGTGAGAGATTATGAGGATAGTAAGGAAAATGGAGAGGGTATTGAAGGCAGACAAGGGGAGATGAACATATTGATGGAATTGGAGATGAGTGTTGGTTTTAGCGAACTTATTACAACTGCCACTTATGAATATGAGTTGACAAAACACAAGAAGAAGATTGAGGAGTTGAAGAGCGAGTTGACAAGAACCCCAATTGGAAGAGAAATTGAGGGCCACAAAGAGAAAGTTCATCAAAGTAGCAGAAATGGAGTTATAGAAGGAGAATTAAAAAGTGAATGTTTGGTTGAAACATATGCCTCTTGAGATTGAAAATAGAGTGGATAAAAATTTGGTCGTTCAACGGAGAGTGGTGGCTATTGAGTCTTTAGGTTTATGGTTTTTGCAGCTACCACAACCTATTTCTATCTTAAAACGAGGAATCATTGATTGATTTACTGAAGTAGGTCGATTATTTATTCAACTTACTTGAACTAATAGATAAGGAATGTCTAATTTTGTGCCTTATGACTTTGATCAAGTCTATTAGTATATTGGAGGTAACCCTAATTTGGTCGTTTGCTCTCAAGTTTTGATGATTCCCTCTTAGTTTAGCTTTTTGTATATAGTTGATGATTTGAACCAACAACTCTCCATTTCTTTTTAATTAGTGGCATACTGTTCCTAAAAGGCGAGCATTGAACCCTTTATGTAGGATTGTGAGGTTTCAGATTCAGTTTCAAACTATATATGGGTCGTGTGGTAATTCCAGTGAGGTTTTATATTCTATCTTTCTTGACAATCAACTAACCAATATAATATTATCATTATGAAAACGAAATCTATGACACATTTTTATATTCTTAAATGATGATGGTATTTCTTCGAGTGTTCGACCTATATATGCTTTCTTTATGTATCATCTCGATTGAAGGAATGTCAAAAAATTAAACAAGTTAATAGTCTTAAAAAGTAATATAAAAATATAAATAATCAAATATGATCATTCCGGCCAACGGGCCGGGTTATAAGCTAGTATATTAGTATGGGAAAATAATATAGCATTTTCTTACATTTGATTTTGCAGCATTGCTGGTGGTGGTGGATCCTGGGCAGAAACAGAGGAAACAGGGAACAAGTTTGTCAGCAATGGTTCATGCAATACAATTTGCTGTCACATGCTTCCCTCCCTCTCTCTCACTGCCATAATGGGCTGGAGCTCCATTGCCTTTGACATGGAGAGATGCAAGCCAATGTCATACATATATCCACTGTCTTGGCTCTGTCTAGGATCCATTAAGGCGCTTGCAGCTACCATTGCTATGTTCCCCATCAACTATGCAATGATGAGAAAAACTCGGTTTTGTCAGGGAGCACCTCTACCTGACAGCAATTGTAAGCCTTTTTATTAATCTGCCTATGACTTCCCCATTTATATTTAAGTCTCCCTAATCATAGAAAATTCATTCGAAGCATTGCATTTCAGCTTCTTCTTGTTATCAATTGCTACAATCTCAACATTCAGATCAGGGAAATAACCGACGAAGAAATGGCTTCTGCTTGCCATGTTCGATCCATCAGTTGGAGAGGCTGAGATCCTCTCAGCCAACATCTTCATCATCTAATTTGAGTGGTCTCAAGGAGTTGTATCAATCCATCGACGATTACCTTCAGCTGCAAGCAACCCAAAAATCAATCTCCAACAATAACTCAATCGATAAGGCACTTTACGGATCCCTCAGGTTGCTAGATTTTTGTGGTTTCACAAGAGACATCCTCTCACAAATAAAGGAGATCCTGGAAGAGCTTCAATCATCACTCAGAAGGAAGAGAGGAAGCCAATCAGTTGAAGCTTATATGGCTGCCAAGAAGCAGCTAAGCAAACACGTATGCAAGTGTTTGAGATATAAAGAGTTCACAGAAGAACTGCAGCTGCTCCCAGCATTGTAGTTGGAACTCCTTTATAGCCAATATTTCTTCTCGCTTACTCGTTTTAATTGAGCTTGCATTGGCACATATTTAAGGTAGAATCAATCAATTAGAGCTTCTCATATCAAAATCGAATTGCTCGATGTTTTGATTCAATCAACTACTAATATATATGTCAATTTTTGACCATATATGCAGCAAATTAGTTTGTTAGATAACTTTAATCGTTGATAAGACGCATTTATTGTTGTTCAATATCCTTTTCTTATGGGAGATATTAATTTCATTCATCTTAATGGGCGCTACAATATCTCCCTTCACATTAGATTGTGGAAGTGAGCGGTGGTCCTAGGTTGGCCCATGTCCAACAGTATATTGACGATTGAGAAGATAACTTGTAGATTTGTATATATATTTCCTTTTCGTATTTTGAGTGACTTCTTCTTTTGAGTTCCATTAGTTCAGTGCTAATAGATGTCGTGCTTGTTAGTTTCAAGAGATCTGTTAATTTAGTGGTCAGATAAGGATTGATTTGGTAGGAAGATTATGCAAAATAATACAGCACCACGGAAAGCTGAAGCGAATGTCGTAACAAAAATCATGGGGCTAGAACACTGAGGAATGGTCTTGCCAGAGAAACTGAAACAATATATCTGTTACTTTGTACAATCTCTTCCAAGATAAGAAATTCAACTACAGCTGTATAAAACCCTAACTCCAGTCTCCTAAAAGTTAGCATAAACAACCAAACTCCCTAACCTAGGATTTTATGCCCCCATCATCCAAGGGGCATGCTTTGCTGGTAAGTTAACAATAAGTTTCAAAAGGAGGTTACAAAAATTACAGGCCTTCTTTTCTTCGTCTAGCCTCTGTGTCCTACCTAGCCAAAGAAAGAAGCTTAATTAATCAAAAGCAAGGCCATCCAGTACATTGTCCCGCTCTTTCTTCGCACCGACTTTCAGAAGAGCTAGCAGAGGATTCATCAGAGAGACTCAGTTTCTCACCTGCAAGCCTCTGATAACCAATGATGTCAGACGGTACCGGGGAGCGAAGGATAGAAAGATTCAAGGGCAAGGAAAAGGGAAGGCCGATGATGATGATCCAAGCTCGGCATAACCCACCAGCTATCCTTCAATTGCACAGCTGCCAAGACTTCTCCCTGAAACAAGCATTTCTCACCCATCTCTCCTTGCGAGCTTTCTCTTTCGTGGCAGAAGGCAAAAAATTAGGTTTCATATATGCAGGAAATGATGAGAGAGTCTGTTCAGCTTCAGTCAGACAGTAAGTCCTCAAACTCGTGGTCCTCGGAGTTAAATCCATCATAATCCATACTTGTGTTGTTGAAAACTCCTATCTCTTCCACCAGATCTTGATCGTCGTCGGTATCTGGATCGAGCGGATCTGGATCATTTTCTGTGTTTTGGTTCTCGGAATCTTCTCCAGAGGTTGCATTATTATAGCCTTTCCCTAATTTTCTAGGCCGCGATTCCTTTCTCGCCTTTGTTTCTGTTTCCTCGCATATGCAGGTATGGGGATTCTCGTGAAACTCTCCCCTGCCGGGTCTAACCTCTTTTGGTTCGCCCATGAAGCCCTTCTGGTACGTGCGAACTCTAGAAGCGAATGCCTCCCAAGTCATGTTGTTCTGGTTCAAGAACAAGCGGTAGAGCTTCTTAGCGTTTGGTCGAATAGTAGGCTTGTGTCCAAAATATCTCCTGCACAATTTGATTGCAAATCCATGAAATGAGTCAATAATAACAGAAAGAAATACCTACCAGGCATAGACGTGAAGGAGGGGAGGGAAGGGATCAATCACCTACGCCCAGCTAAGATTTTTGCCATGTTGCCATTATTATTTGTCACAAACACATCACTTTCGTCACAAACAATGAAGTCAAGTGCAGCCATCCTCGAGGAAAATGAAGAGAATGGTTGTAACTCCTCGCGGCTTGCAAGAGTATCCTTTGTATAGAAGTTGGGGAAGAGTGCTTTTAGAGGCGCCAATGTCTCTTCCCCTCGGTAAACTTCTCCTGAGGCCACATATATGTGGACATCACTGCCATAACCCAATGCCCTCAACATAAGACCAACTTCGTGTGGAGTGAGTGGGCATTTCCCATGCCTTCTTTCCTTCTCAGGGTTCTTTGACTGTGCCAGATAAAACAAGCAAACCTCATTAACTCTCAACACCATATAAGAACAAACTCAAATCATTTGGCAGCAGCCATGTGAAAAGAAACTAATCAAGTAGTTCAGAGAAGACTGGCGACATTTTCCAAGTGTTGGTGAAACTTCAGACCTAGGATCTGTCTGAAGTCCCATGAGATATTGAAGAGAGTTTAAGCTGAGGTTTAGACATTTTGACATGAATTATTTACAGTATATCTGCTCTAAAAGAAAGGCTTCTGCAACAGATTCTTGATTACCTATTGTTTTCAGATTGGAAGATCAGACTTTCCGTCATGGTAGATTAAACCTAGATGGCTAATTTTGCCAGAAAGACTTCCTCTTTCCACACCAGTTTTTGCAATGTAAACAGAGAACCAAAGGGAAGTTCATAATAAAAACAGTAGAACAAAGTTGCAGGCATATGAGTTGAATCTTACATGCAAGGTTTTCCACCTCTTCCGTATGGCACTCAGGTCTTTATCTTCCCTATCACCTCCACCATAGTAGCAGCCAGAGAATGCCAACATATCAGGTTCAAACCTGCAGCAGGAAACGCCTAAGTTAAAAGAAAAACAAATTTATGTGACTTTGATGTATTCACATATAAAGTATAGTTGGAAAAGAGCTTTACAAGAGTGTTCATTTGGGAACTACAAAAAAGTCACTTAATATTCAAGCAAAGAATAAAGAAAACCCAACATTTTTCAATAATCTAGAAAGTGTGAGCAGGTAGAAGCCATTTTATGGTCCAGTGTTACTGACTTTCCCAGTTTGACATTATGTTGAACAGATTTCAGCCAGGTCTCAGATTCTTAGCACTATTATGCAGGAAGTGAGAATTTTGACAGGATAGCCAAACTGTTGAGGGTAAAACAGAAACTGTACCTAAGGTGCAATGTAATATAATGCTTGCTTCTCGACCTCATTCTGTTGACCAACATCTCACCCATTTTTCGAATTGGCTCGGTGAACCTTAAACCATGGTAGTTAGCTCGGCATCGCAACTTCTGAAGTTGTGTATCCAACCTATTTGCCAGCCTGTAGTCAAACTTGCCTAACTGAATTGCCTGTTACAAAGTTAAGTGCAGATTAATACTCTGGACAGTAAGATATCCAGCGGGAATGTAATTCCATGCAGTTGCGTATATTTTCATTATGTCTTGCAAGAATAGCATATTTGAAGTTGATGTGACAGTTGCCTCAAAATTGCCTAATGAGTGTCTTTCAAACCCGTGCATCCACACAATCAGGTTCTCAAAAGGCCACTTCTTTGCATTCAAAGGCCTCATGACCTATCACAAAAATTATATGCATAGCCCAAGGCTCTTTCAGACAAGAAACTTATCTGAGCCTACATTTACATCGCCAATTAAGTCTGTCAGCTAGCATATATTCACTTCAAATATAAAGAAAGCGGACAACCTCATGCAATATTTCAAAAGGAACGTCAATTTGAAACAAGCAAAGGGAGCAGAAAATATATTGAAGTATAAGCTAAGCAACCTGAACTCCACATGCTGAATATATCCTAAGTCAAAGATATGTATAACAAAATAGGTTAAGAAGAATGGATGACTTAGAACTTACATGCCTTTTCAAAAGAGCAGGTAATACACGGGTTTCATAGCACCTTTCACTACACTTCCTTGCAACACGCATGTTATGGGGAGTCCAAGTCTTCCCACCCTTTCTTGGTAACTCTTTTATTATTTTGACATCATTTTTTAGTGAAGAGATAAACCAATCAACATCGAAGATCTCTGAAAAATTACTGCAGAAATGGAAGAAAAATAATGCTTATAAGATCATTGGAAACTAGACAAACTAGGAAGTTCCAAAATACTGAAAAGGCATCATTCGTAGTAACCTTGAATCCTTCCAAAATGATTTCTGGTCCAGCTTAGGCACGACAAGAGTGGCATTAAGAATTCGAGCAGCAACAACCGCATCTGTAATCTGCAAAAGAATGGGAATCAAACCTAATAAAAGAAATTATATCTTAGCTGAAAAGGTTTTTATCTATATCGCAAAAGATCTTCATGGAAAATATTCAGCGAGCCCACTACAAAACTCAAAATTAACAGAACATTTACAAGGACAAACACCGTCTTCATTCTCTCACCATAGTTCTATGACTTCCGACGCAAAGGATGGTAACAACTAGGTTCTTTACTTGACCCTTCATGATTTTTCAAATTTACACCAAACAGGTGGGGTTTCAGTTTCACAATTATGGGATGAATAATTGATCTACTTTAGTCTATCCATAATCCCCAGAAGAGCAACCATTTAGCAAGGAAGCAGATATATTTGATTATACAATTAAAATGGAAAGCTTAAATAACTTAGATCAGCTACTACAAAGGATGATCTCATGAACATACCCCGGTCCTCTGTTGATTCAAACCTCCACTTGTAGCGATCAGCAAATATCGATCTGGCTTCGTAATAGCGTCAGCATCTGCAATCAAAACATATGACATGGGTTGACTTGACATAGATGCGAAACTCACAGAACGAGTAACCAAACAAATTAAAATTTTAATGCAAATTATTATCCATTACGACTTACTACCATATGTATACAATACAGTACGATCGTGACACAGAAATTACCATAATTGCCGATTAACGAAGCAATTCAGACAAATCCAAATGAAGGAAATAAAAAAAATGCCATCTACTTACTCCGAAAACTATGGCTGGCGTTGCTGCAGCCATAGAAGAACTTGGAATTCCTCGAGCTCCAAATATCACGATCCAACGCTCCACCGCGATCCTGCCCCCAAACAGTAAAAGAACATCAAAATCAAATCAAATCAGCGAACAATACGACACCAAAAAATAAAACTAGTTCGCGAAGCTGAAGAAATCCAATTCACAAATCCCTAACCGGCACGCGGAATACGGGGTGGCTGTCTCCCGCCGCCGACTCCGTATCGGCCTCATCGTCGTCGGTCACGTGGCGGAGGCGATTGTTGTACATGTCGCCGGAATCGTTCGGGGAAGGGGCGAGGAACAAGAGGACGGCGAGGAGGATGAGGAGGAATCCGGAGACGGCGGAGATCAAGGGGAGAAGAGAACGGAGGCCATTGTAATAGTTGTGGCGCCGCCTGTGGAACGCCATTCTCTTCCTTTCGATCCCTGTCTTCCCGAAGCTCCCCAGCTTTTCGTGAATTCTTTTGTTCTTCTTCTGCGGCGGTAATCGATGAATTATCTGAAGTTAGCAGAGGGACGGAGAAAATGGAGTTGCAAAAAATGGAAACTGGATAGATGGATCCGCCGGCGGGCGCTAGAACTCCGGCATCGGGTGGGGGGAAGAAAACGGAGAATCAATCGGGGAATGCGCTGGGATTTGGCGGAAGCAACAAAACCAAACCGCCCGAAAGGAAGGAATAAAGGATGCGGTATTTTGCTTCTATGGCTGGATTGTGGACTGCTGAAAAAGCCCATTGAATCTGTTTGGACTCTATTGAGACGGGAGTGGACTTGACTTGGCGTGTTAAATAGAAGCCCCCGTGATTTTTTTTCCCTAACTACACACGTATCTATAAATAAAAAAATCCTAACAATACTATATGGAGGTTCACGGAGGGAGATATTGGTAAATGTGTGCTATTTATTGAACTGGGCCAGGCCCATTCTTCTTTTCATTACAAGTTTGGGGCACGGAAACAATTGAACTAATTTTCTGGATGAATTATATGGGGTTGGTTAAAAAAATGTGGGCGGCTATTTTGTAGCTTTAAAGCCGAATTCCAAACACAAAAAAACAAACACCAAAATTAAGTACCTCATTTAGCTAATTTCAAGGTAAGACCATCACTTTCATCCCTAAACTTTCACAATATAGTCATGTTGGTACATGAAAGTTACTTTCGATCATATCAGTACACGAATTCATATTTTTTTGTCATTGCGGTATCAATCGATTCCGGCCATGAAATTGCCATGAATACCAACAATATTACCGACATGATAAATTTACAGTGTTTAAATAAAATGACGTTGTTTTAGTAAATGAAATTAACAAAACAATTTATTTATGATTTATTCCATGAATATTACTATGAGTTTTAAATTACATACATTGTCTTGCAATATGTTATATATATATATATATATAATATTTCTATTCACTTTATGTTAATGGAAAGGAGAGGTTATCAATATGCTCGACTGAAAGGAGAGGAAGAAAGTCACTCGACCGATAGGGAGAGGGACGACCGGAGGAGACGGTTAGGATAACGAACTTCCTTCTCCAGTAAGCGAAGAGCGATAGCGAAAAGAGCGGCTAAGGCAAGCAAGGGCCTTAGAGTGGTAAGGTAGCGCGCTATTCGATGAAGAAATGATGTGAACTCCCTGCAGCATTCTAATCAAGGTATGAAGTCGCATCTGGGAGATCAAGATCATCCTTCTAAATCGCAGCTCTTTCGGGGGTTCCTTAGGGACCGATTCACTCTGCGTAGATTGACTGAACGCTCACTGATCGAGCGCTCTTGCGCCGAAGATGAACGGGGCTAAGCGATCTGCCGAAGTTGTGGGATGTAAAAATGCATCGGTAGGGGAGCGTTCCGCCTGGTATTTCATATTTGGACATCTAGTCTATAAACCAGCATGAACTGATATAAACCGACTGTAAGAATTCATATTTTTTGTCATCGCGGTACATCAACCGATTCCAGCTACAAAACCGATATGAATACCACCGATATAACTGGCATGATAAATTTACGGCGTTTAAATAAATTTACGACATCGACGGTTGAACTATTTTCTTCTCTTTTTATAATTATGGTTGAACTATTCTCATTTGTGCACTTCATTTACTTTTGGAACGATACAATTCTTATAATGTCATGTCTAATAACTTCTACCGCTCAGTGAATGGAGCGTCATTACCTGCACTTCTTTATTCTCATCTAGATATCACAAGCAGCATGCAAGGAATTCCTTTGAGGGCAAGTTTCATATGCTGTGAAATCAACGTTAGATGCGAAATGTTGGGACATACAGCTTATATAGATAAATTATTTTTCAACTTCACCTCATTTTACAGGTAACTGAAAATGACTATATAGGTTATAGTTACAAATGTTTAAAACGTAATAAAAATGTCATATAGATATCACATATAAATAAATAAAAATTACATTTCGCATGACACAAAACAAAACAATATCTTTTGTATCTTTTTTTATTCAAAATGTCTATTTAACTTACTCTGGATAATTACTTCAAAAAAACTTACTCCGAATAAGGGTAGGTTTTCAACCGTGTATTAGGTCTCTCATTTCTTAATTAATTGATGTAGTGAGTCAACAATTTACATGAGCATTTTGAATGAAAATATACGAAATGTTTATTTTCTTATGTCATATATGTATATGATAATTAGGTTACATTTTAAATATTTGAAACAATTTTGTCACAGGCAAACCGATATGATCATTTTGATAAATTACCCCAAATATTATATATAGAAAAAATATTTCAAAAATATTCTATTTTCTTGGTAGTTGAGTTCAGATGGTCTCACTTTGTGTGAAAATATTTCTTTCAATTTTGGTGTTTTTTTTTTTGTTATAAACAGAGCGCAAAGGGGCGCTCTAACCCTTATAGATTAACCGATCTCGGAGTTTGAACCCAATGGAATCAAAGTACAGCCAATAGTGCAAGCTAAGACTCGGGTTCTCAATTACATGAACTCCCACTGGCAAAGAGTGGGCTTCTGATGCCACGTGGTCTGCTACAAAGTTGGCTTCTCTAAAAACGTGGCCGAGTGAAACCTCCCAATCTCTCGCTAGCAGACTCCGGATATAGGAGACCATCGTATGATGAGCGATCCCATTGTGGTGCCAGATGTCCGCCGCTTGAATAATCGCAAGGGCTGTCGAAGAGTCAGTTTGCACAATCACTTGTCGATGGCCTCGATCCCACGCAAGTTGTAGCCCATGAGCGATCCCTGCCAGCTCCGCACTTGTAACGGAACCGCCGCCCAAATTGACAGCGTAGGCAATCACAAATCGACCGTCGCTGTCTCGAATGACACCTCCGGCCGCCGAACTTCCCTGAGCCAGAACTACTGATCCGTCCGAGTTTACACAAACCCAGCCTGGCGGTGGCCTCTGCCAGCAAATAAGCCTCGTTTCACTAGCTGAATCTCCCTGCACAATACTTCTGCCTACCTCAAATGCTTCCTTAGCTTGATTGCTTAGTAGTTTTGCCGCATGAATGAGCTGCTCTGCACTGGCCAATTGCTCTTCGAAGACCCAGAGGTTTCGGTTTCTCCATAGCTGCCAACATAAGATTGCGAAAACCGACTGCTCAATAACATTGCTTCTACCTGTCAAATAATGCAGAGCCCATTTTCTAACTTCTTCCTGGAAGACTATACTATCCGGTTCACCCTCAAGCAAGTGCGACCACACGTGCCGAGCATACGAGCAGTCACGAAGAACATGGATAACTGTCTCTGGTCCAGACCCACATATCCGGCAAGCATCGGACAAGGCAAGGTGTCTTCGTTGACGTTCTCCATTTGTGAGAAGCCTCCCATGCAAAACCAACCAAAAGAATGAACGAGTACGTTGCGGTCCCTGAATTTTCCAAACAGCTCGCCAAGCAGGGTGTTCTTCGCTACCCTCCTCCTCCTCCCGTAGCAACTCCGCCGCAGACTTCACAGTGAACTTACCTGATTCCGAGAACCGCCAAGTGGGGACATCAGGTTCCATTCCCTCTGGAATTGGATGAAGTTGTAGTTGAAGAACAAGAGGTTCCGTGAGAAAGGCCTTGACATACTCCAAATTCCATTCCCCATTCAACACCACCTCCGCCACTCGCAGGTTGTTCGCTTCTTCAGGGAGGTTTAATGCAAACTCCTTTAGAGGCGGACCATCCTGCAGCCATCTATCATACCAAAACATGGCCTGCATCCCGCTTCTGATGTTCCACATTGTACCTCCCGGGATATGATGTAGAACTCGCAGTACTCCTCTCCATAAATTCGATAACCTACCATTACGCGGAGGGTACCAAATACCATTCACCTCTCTTAGGTACTTCCCGCGGATGACCTGTGCCCAGATACTGTCTTGCTCGACAAAAAGTCTCCAGGCAATCTTGAGCATGAAAGCATCATTCATTCTTGTCGCGCTTCTCAGCCCCAATCCTCCTTCTGCCTTAGGTCTATAGAGCGTTTCCCAATCCACCAGGTGAACCTTTCTCCCTTGTTCCGAACTCCCCCAAATGAATCCCCTGATCTTCTTGTCAATATACTCTCGCACATATGCAGGCAGGAGAGCAGTCTGCATCGTATAAGCCGGTAGCGAAGATAAAACTGCCTGAGCAAGAGTGATTCTGCCCGCCAGAGATAAGGAATTAACCTTCCACCCTGCTAATCTGGAATCTATCCTGTCAATGAGATTAGTATATGTAGCTTTCGACACCCTGCCGTGAATCACTGGAACACCCAGGTATCGCCCCAAGTTTTTAGTTACAGGGATATCGAGAGCGGCACTCAACGCAGTCTCCACAACATTTGAGACGTTGTGAGAGAAGAAAATTCTCAATTTTGGCCTGCTTATCTCCTGACCAGAAGCCAACCCAAAGTTCTCCAGGCACTTCGAGATAACCTGCACCTGCTCCATAGAGGCCACACTGAAGAGAATCAGATCATCGGCGAAAAACAAGTGAGACAGCTTGGGACCTCTTTGGGAGAGCCGGATTGGTTGCCACTCCCCTGCCTCCACCGCAGCATCAATCAGGTGTCCCAGTCTCTCCATACACAGTGTAAAGATATAGGGGGAGAGCGGGCAGCCCTGTCTCAGGCCCCGTGACGGAGAAAAAGGCTCAGTAAGGCCTCCGTTCCACTGAATTTGCATTGATGCAGAGGTTATGCAACTCATAGTCAACTCCGTGAAGCTTCGCGGCGCACCCACAGCCTCCAGCGTGTCAAGCACGAAGCTCCACTTTATTCTGTCATAAGCCTTGGCCAAGTCAATCTTCAGCACCATCCAACCTACCTTCCCCCCTTTAGCCTGCATCGAATGGACCACTTCCTGCAGAATACAGATATTATCCGTAATATGTCTCTCCGGGACAAAACTTGTTTGTGTCTCATGAACTAGACTCGGCATCAAAGGCTTAATCCGTTCAGCCAAACATTTCGTTATCAGCTTATAAGCCACATTAAAGAGGCTAATCGGGCGAAACTGCTCAATCAGGGTGGGGCTCTGAATCTTCGGGATTAAAGCCACAATCGTTTCATTGACCTCCCGAACCCGCGTCGGCGTATGCCATCAAGCTGTGACGAAGTCGATTATCTTAGGGCCAACCCACTCCCAGCAGCGCTGGTAGAAAAGCGGGTTCAGACCATCTTTTCCTGGGGCCTTCATCGCACCCATAGATTTGACAGCCTTAGTAATCTCGTCGGGGGTGAACTCCCTATCAACCGCCGCCCACAACGGAGCAGGTACTTCGGGAAAAATTCTCATAAGATTTTGTACGGGTGCACCATCGTCAGTGTATAACCCCGAGAAGAACCGACGGGCAAGGTCCAGTAGAAGATTCTGATCATCAATCCAAATCCCCTCTTCATTTTTTAGCGTTGAGACTCTGTTTCTCCTTCTTCTATTCATGGTTCTAGCATGGTAATATTTTGTGTTCCGGTCACCCGATGCCACCCGCTCCAGCCGCGACTTTTGGCACCACAGTAGTTCCTCCTGAATTAAAACCGCCTCTAGCTCTTGTCTCGCTGCCTGCAAAGCTTCTGTTTCCGAGTCGCCACCATACCTCGATTCCAGCCGCTCAATCCAAACGATTAAAGCATTTTTCTTCTTCAAAATATGGCCGAAAGTCTCCGCATTCCACGTTTTCGCCTCTTCAACAAAGGCGGCCATAGAGGTGATAAAGTCCATCCCTTTTGCCCAAGCTTGGGAAGCCATATCATTAAACCCCTCACGGGTCAGCCACGCCGCGAGGAATTTGAATGGTTTCGGACCCGCAGGCTGAAAACTCGGGTTTAAAATAATCATAATAGGTCTATGATCACTCTTCACCCTGGGCAAGTGTCTCACAACCGCCTCTGGGAATTTAATTGACCAATCAAAATTCTCCAAACCCCGATCAAGTCTTTCCTTAACACCTCGCTTGAACCAAGTAAATGGAGGTCCTGCGAAGCCGAGGTCTAGCAGGCCCGCGTCTAGAACACAATCTTGGAACTCTCGTGCCCGACTAGCATCAAAGGGGGCCCCGCTGTGCTTATCCGAAGGTTGAAGAATAGAGTTAAAGTCCCCCACCACGAGCCAAGGGCTCGCTACACTCTCTGCGAGCTGTCTCAAAGATTGCCAAAGATCCCGCCGTTGAACCAATGTTGGGTTAGCATACACAGCTGATAGTAGCCAGCAATCATTACCCACGCTTACCTGAACATGGAGCATTTGTTCAGAACGGTCTTTTTCGGTGATAGTGACTAAGGATGAATCCCATGTCAGCCAAATGCCGCCTGAGAAACCCACAGCGTCAACAATAAGGTGCTTATCAAACCCCATCTTCTCAACAACTTGAATCGCTTTGTTACCACTGACTCTCGGCTCTACAATCATCGCAATTCCAGGACGATATTTCTGTCAATACTCCTTAAACACTCTAAGGAAGCGTTTGCCCCCTGCACCCCTACAGTTCCACGTAAAAATATTAAGGTTTAAACCCATCGGGAAAGTAGGTTAATCAAGACGCCCGCAGGATTAAGTCGAGGGGGCCTCATTACTGAGGCATCCCTTCATTTTCCCAAGGTCCATCACTATTGCTGACCCCTCTGAGCTCCCCTTCCCCAGAGGCTGCTGGTCTGGGTGACGAGTCTGATGACTCACACTAGATGAAACCATACATTGAGCAGTAGCTCTTGTTTCTAGTTCCGTCGGTTGTGGTGGCACCTCCGCTGAGACTGGATTATCACTCGCCAGGACTGCGGGGTTACCTTGAACTTTTGTCGATGGGATATCGACTGGGGGGCCATCGTAGAGGATCTCACCGGCGGATTGCCCGTCAGTTTTTCACCTACTTCCTCTTCCCTGCTGACCTCCTTCCCCTTATGTTTCACGGTATGAATGCTCTCGTCATTTCTCTTTGGCGTAACCCTGGAGTTGTCATTCTGTTGAGACTCATTCACTGTATCCACTTCCTCAATCTCTTCAATATTCAACACATTAAATCTTGAGCCACCTATCGAGCTCCGTGCTTCATTCGCATTATTACCTTTGCGCGTATTCGAACCATTAGCTCGATCAACTTGGTCCTTTCTTCTAGGTCTCTTTTTTGCTATCATCCAATCACCATAGGTAGTCTCCGGCGCTTTTATTTCTGTGTCATTATTCGGCACAACATTCTCAGTTTCCATTTCCGCCGTGGTGTGCATGCATGAACAGTGCCCCCTTTCCTTGTACGTGCCACACTGTAGACAAATCCTTTCTAGACCCTCATATTGAATAAAATACTTTTTCCCATGTAGCCTAAACATAGAGAGCAACGGTTTGGTTAGATCGACCTGGACACACACCCTGGCATAATCACTCCGAGCACCCGTTTTGGTTGCATGATCCACTCTCAATGGTTTCCCGATACGCTGTCCAATCTTCATCACTGCTACTGGGTGAAAATACTGAATCGGAATCTCAAGCAACCGCGCCCAAACCATTGTGGACGATATCTCATGTTCATATGGGTTAAAATCCTTAGTCCATGGATGAACTGTTAAGTAGTTATCACCCACCATCCATGGCCCACCTGTAATCGCTCTCTCATAGTCCACACCACTGGTAAAACGTACCAAAAAATACCCATTTCTTGCCGAAGTTACTTGAATCGTACTCACTTTTGCCCAGATGCTCGTCAACCTTTTGGCCATTAGTGTATAGGAAACCTTTTGCCGAAGTTACTTGAATCGTACTCACTTTTGGCCATCGGTGGTTTCTCGGACTCTCAGAGCTTGCACCTGATTTCGCAGCTTCCGTCGAGGTTTTATCGGGATCAAACTCGAACACGGGGGCCGTCTTCTTCGCCCTTTTCTTCGTCTGCTGGGCTTCCCTGTCGCCTCTCGGATTCGGAGAGGAAGACTCTGTAGGCGGTCTTCTCTGGCCTGCTGTGGTCTCCGTCGTCATGGGACTGTCCGTTCCCCCTTCCCCCGCCAGCGGCACATTCACCGCCGGCATGGGTAGCGAAAACCCTAGAGCGCCTGTCGTGTTCTTTTTTCGCACTCCTACAAGATCGGAGCGAAAACCCTTAGTATGACATGGTTTTAGAGGAAAGTGAAGAAATTTCAATTTTGGTGTTTTTGGAAGGTCATACTTTATGTGAAAGTTCTTTCCTTTAATTTTTGTGTTTTCAAATAGTGAGTGAGGGGACCCGTAAGATTGGAGGGGTTAATCTGATCCAATCCCAAACCATCGAAACAAATAATCGAACCTCTATTACAACGGGTTTGGTGGTTCTACTAAAATTAGTAGTTGAGTTCCGATGATATTAGTTTATGTTAAAGTTATTTTATTTTATTTTATTGTTGCTTTTAAAAAACTAAGTAAGTGGACCAGTACAACCATACTTATTCGTCTGGTCTCATGTCCAACCATAAAAACCATTTTTCTCACACCAAACCGGCAAAAAAATGACCCGAATCAATATTGTAATTGGTTTGGTGATTCTATTGGTACGGACAATGATCTGGTTCAGTTATTATAACCATGATATTTTCAAATCACTTAGAATTATGCTTTTTCTACAAAAAATTATGTTGTTATTGGATGAGTTAAAAATCGAATCTGAAATACCACAAATTAGCATCGTTTCATACAACGTTAAGGCAACATCTTAATTTCACCTCTTCATGAGCGACCTTACTACTTGCGAATCCAAGAATTACAGAAGTAATTAATATTGGGCCAGGGTGAAGTTTTTAAACATTTACTCACCATATCTGCATGTGTGTTATGCGTTTTATGTTGAACAAACCAAAATGGTATTAATTATTATTCCTTTTTTATGATAATAGTACAACGATGGACCAAATCCACCGTTGAAATGCATGGAAGCTAGGGGTGGAAAACGGGACGGGAATGGATACCCATCCCATTTAAAATGGGTACCCATTCCCATTTAGAGGGGATAATTCATCCCATATCCTAAAACCGTACTAAAAACGAATACCCATTACCCGTACGGAACGGATAACGGGTACCCAAACTACCCGTATATACCCGTCAAAAAGTAACAAAAATATATAAACTTAAAAAATTTGCACCATGAAACTAACTAAATCAGTCGCCACCTGCAGCAAGAAATGCTACTGTCACCATGAAAATATGCACACCACTTTCATTAAACAAAGATCACTAGATAAGAGGATCATCTCCTCTTCCCTCTGATAATAAACCCACAGACAATAGATCATTTAACTTAACAGAGAACAAAAGTCAAAAGTCAAAAGAGGATAATCTTCATTAACAATAAGCTCGTTTTATTAACTTGAAATATTAGGGTTAATGGCTATGTATTGGGTATAACGGGTACTCATACTACCCAAACGGGTATTAGCGGATAACCCGCGAGTACCCAATGTTTAAATTTTCAATCACAAGTCCCATCCCGTAATAAATATTATGGGTATTTGGGTACCCGTAACCCTAAAAAAACGGGACGGGTATGGATATACCCAAATACCCGTTTCTCGTTGGCCACCCCTAATGGAAGCACCTCAAAGGAAGGATGAGGACGAGAATGACACTGAAGATGAGTAAAGATAAGGATTATTCAAAACAATTTTCGAATTCGTTTCCCTGGTAAAGGGTTTGTCATTGATTTTTCGTAAATTAATTATGTTCGATGAGTCAGTAAGGATGTCCTAGAATACAATTATGTTCGTATTTTAAATTGTTTAAGTACTTCAATAATTTGGATTCTTTTACGCTACCAAGAAATTTACATTTCGATAATTTTAGTGATCTAGATTTTTGTAAACAAACAAAACACACGAAACTCATTCTACTCCTATTTTGTATTTACACAATTCACAAATGACCCCGACATTGGTACCTATTTAATATACGCAATTTGGAAATGAAACCGGCCAACCGGCCGGGCCGGTGACTAGTTAAAATACAACAATTTTTAAGAAATTGCAAAAGTACACATATTTTGAGACAAATTGCTTCAGTCAAAAGTGATTTTGTAACAAAGAATCTTCATGAATGTGCAAACTGACTTTGCCAGATTTTCAGGTGTGGAACTGTCTCATTTGCTTTTGGTAAAATTTATTATGCTATTACTATGAGAAAGTGTCTTACTCATAATGTTTGGTTGTTACCTCTCGAGGATATTCTCAACCGGTCATTAGGATGCTACTTCGAGGAAGTCTTCCCATTCTAAAGTCGGAGATATTTTAAGGGAAGTTCTTTCTCTCTTCTCGACTCCCTGTGTCAGTTTCGAGTCTTTGCTCCTCGAAGATTTCATAGAGCTGCCCACCTCGTGGCAAAAAATGCTCTTTTATCGGGAGTCTGGTTGCATACCGGCTACCGTTCTTTATTATTATCAGTTTTATATATTTGTTGTTCGGCCATGCCCTGGGGGCTTATCTTGGATAAAAAAAAAGTGATTTTGTAACTATTAAAAAAAAGTGATTTGTAACTGATCGCTTGAGACCTCAGAGATTTGCAACTGATTGCATATAAATCGCTTTAGACCTCAGCAATATATGTTTGATATATGGAGGGAAAAATCAAACGATGATAACTTTGTTTTTGGTTATCAGATCAATGTAATTTTTTTTATTTTGCTTATTTTCGAAATCTTCAAAACTAAAAACAATCGATTGTAGTATGTTCAACTTTCGTTTCCAAAGGTCATTTTGTGATTTCACAAAATTTAAAAAATGAGCTAGTACGTCACAACACGGAAACTGATGAATCGTGGGGCACGAGATAAACAAACTCGAAGCATGCACGTGTCGCGTCGGTAGGGATGGCAACAAAACTTGAACCCACGGGTACCCTACCTGACCCAACCCGATCAATACGGATAAAACCCGTGTTGATGGATTTTGGGCCGGGTTGGGGTTTAAACCCTTCACTATTCACCAAGTTGGGTTGGGTTTGGGTTTAAATATACTCGCCCTATGGATACCCGCCCACACCCATATAATTAATTTTCTCGGAAAATTTAATATTCTAAACAACTAATCTTCTTTATATTTGTGGAGCGATGTCTAATTTTTTCTTTATAATTGTGTAAAATGAGGTTGATATTATCGAGTGGAGAGTGAAGAAGCTTAATTGACAAGGAAGAAGAAGCTTTCAATTAATCATGTTGTTTATGGATAATTTGTGATTTGCTTCAATTTTCTTGAGTTTTCCAGATTGGTGTTGAACAATTTGTATGGTTAGTTTGTGATTTACTTTAAATTTTCTAGAATTGTATTTTATATATGGGTTATTTATATGAAGATATTGATATTTGACTTTTATTTTGATAGGAACTTGTTATTGTAAATTTCTTATGATAAAAACCAATGGTTACCCATGACCCCACGGATGTTGGGTTGGGTTTGAGTTTTCCAAACCCAGTTGGTTTTATACCTCGACCTTTTTTCAAGAATAAGCTCATGAATTTGGGTTTGAATTTGACAAAACCCGACCCAACATGATCCATTAGTATCCCTACGTGTCGGACTAAACACGGCCCAACGGCCCAGGTATACTTGTAATCGTCTGGAAAAGACCCTATGCTGCTACTGTGGGGAACCATCGCCAGTTTAATATTCGAACAACTTTTTTCAACGCCCAACAGACCCCAAAATCCAATCCATTTCCGGCAGCCATTAACAAACCCCAATTGCCGGCGGCAGGCAGCGCCGCTGTAAGCTTCGCCCCTTACCTCGTTCACCGACACACTCTTTTTTATCTCTCTCTCTTCCTCTGATGTCGACAGCTGCGATTTAAGGATCTTCTGAAGCTCATCTCAAATTGCATCTGCAGCTGAATTTTACTTCGAGAGGAACGGACTAGTGGGGAGGAGAGATGAACTCTTTGACTGCGAAACCATCCATATTTCTACCTAAGTTATCTTCTTCTTTGTCCAATGGGCCTCGGTTGCCTTCTTCTTCGGTGAGTTTTCATTGGAGAGCGAAGAATGGTGGTGGCGGTGGAAGAGGAAGGTTGGTGCTGAGAGTCCAAGCTAGTGGAGCTGCTAAATCAGATGGGTCTAATGACACTAATGGCGCTCTGGTACCCTTTACCTTTCCTTCACTATTTCCGCTTCCGGTTAATTGGAATTTCTTTTACCTCCTGTATTTTTGGTTTCTGGGTTTGGAATTCTGTGTAAAAATCGAATTTCGGAATTGGACAGAGGAGCAGGAGAGAAATTCTGATGGAGTATGTGAAGACCGTGCAGCCTGAATTTATGGAGCTCTTTTCCAAGCGGGCATCCCCGCAGGTTAGTAAAAGTTTGATCCTTTTGTTTTCCCTTTTGAATGTCTTTTTTCCCCAATGAAATGGTCAAAACTTAGACTTCTTTGGTTCAATTTACTTTGTTTTAGGTGGTTGATGCAATGCGGCAGACTGTGTCCAATATGATTGGGACTCTACCTCCACAGTTCTTTGCTGTAACTATTAGCACTGTAAGTCGGATATGCTGTGTTTTGTGGTAATGCAGTTAAGTGGGCGAGGATCGTTTGATGGCGGAAGTAATGTGTTGATGTTTCGGGGTTTCAGGTAGCTGAAAATCTTGCGCAGCTTATGTACAGTGTATTGATGACTGGTTACATGTTTAGGAATGCTCAATACCGGCTAGAGCTCCAGGAGAGCTTGGAGCACGTTGCTCTTCCTGATGTGAAGGAAAAACAGGTAGATGCCTCATTGCTTCTAGGTCCATAGTATGCAACGCTCATTGATCAGAATTTCGCTGTGCGTATCTGTGGATAATTCAATTTGTTTTTTTTTCTTAATCGGTTAATTAGGAACGTGCATCAAGTGTGTACTCATACTAGACATCCTCAAGGTTAAGTAGAATGATAACGGTGCTTTTGATGTAGCTGGACAATACAGATTACGCACCCGGTACGCAGAAGAATGTGAGTGGTGAAGTTATCAGGTGGAACAATGTCTCTGGTCCTGAAACAATCGATGCTAAAAAGTACATTGAAATACTCGAAGCAGAGCTCGAGGAACTGAATCGACAAGTTGGTAGGAAGTCCACACATGGCGGAAATGAGTTGCTGGATTACCTCAGGACTCTCGAACCCCAGAATATCAAGGTCAGACTGGACTAAGATGTAGTTGTAGTGGTGTTATTCATTATCGATGATTGCCTTATTATGGTGATATCGTGCATATGAATTGTTTTAAAGACAGTATGTTTAATTCTGACTGATATTCTGACTTTGGATCATGCTTTCCATGGATGTGTAGGAGTTGACGAGTAGTGCTGGAGAAGATGCTGTTGTTGCAATGAACTCGTTCATTAAGCGCCTGTTGGTGGTGACAGATCCCGAGAAGATGAAGGTTTGCCCATCAATTAAACTCTTTGTCACAACAACACATATCTTGAGATTCCTCTTACAGTAGATTTAGAAGCATCAGGAACATGGTCTTGTGTAGAGCAGTTCTACCGATTTCGTAATTGGGACTTGCTGGGAATAGTAATTTGTCAAGCAGCATTTCTCTGTAGACAAATGGAATTTCCTGGTCTCTGATTCTACGGATCTGTTAATTCTGGCAAATTAAACCCACAAACTGCAGAGTTTTAGCCTTTGGTAAACTTGATTTAATCGGCCTGACAATCTCCTCCTTATCTATACTTTCTATTCAAGTTTAGTCGGTCCTGTCATTGATTTTGATAAGCACTATAAAATTTCTCTTGCAGAGCACGGCAGAGACCAGTGCAACCGAACTAGGGAAGCTGCTCTACTGGCTGATGGTGGTTGGCTACAGCATACGCAACATTGAAGTCCGATTTGATATGGAACGAGTGCTCGGTTCCTCCCCAAAGATGCCCGAGTTGCCTCCAGGGGAATCCTAAAGTTTAATCTACACTTCTGGAGATCCACTGCCCTTGATTTGATGCCAATTACCAAGGCAACCAGAGATGTTGTACTGTAAACGTTAGTTGAAGAAATGGCTTGTGATTGCATATTTTTGCAAAAGTCGTTCCGCTTAGAGAGCGACAAGCCCAGCTTGACTGGCCAAATTTGTACTCGGATAGAACAGCTTTTATTTTTTGCCCCCATTTTCATGCAGTAAGTTTAGAAGCTCTGCATGGCTCTAGAGATTATCTTCTGTTAATAGTTGGTCAGTTCAAATAAATTTGGTGCTTATGCTGCGATTTGATTGATCATAGAAAGTTGCGACGTTCACAGGCCAATTTATGAGTTGATTTAGGGATCAATTCATCGCTTTATTTCTCGACAAATTCATTGGTTAATTCTTAGTTAACTGGTAGTATGGCCATTGCATCAATCAAACAATGGACTTGCAAATGATCCATGATTTAATAACTAGCCTTGTATCTTCTTGGTCCGGTTGAGAATCTAGCAACATAGCTCCCATAATCACGTTCCTATCTTCACAATCGATCATTTTACTCGACCCAACGCAACTGAGAGGCACCGACAGTCATCTACTACGATATTTGTGATACCACACCGGTGAACTATTGTTGACACTTAAACGACGTCACATCGACCCAAAACGAAGTCTTCTTGACTCGCTGCCATCAACGCACCTCAACGACGCCGTTTCGATATATCATCCTTCGAAGTCAAAGAGAGGACTCCTCGATCGATGGTCTCTCTGATCATCTCTCTCGATCGCCTCTTTTCCAGCAAGCGCTTCAGCTTTTCAACAAGCAAGCACCGTCTCTATGAGGATGTATGATGAAGACTATGGAAGGCTCCTTTCTAGGCAACGGTCGCCACTGTCAACATATATATATTGTAAGCCATCTGTCTATTTGGATTGTACTTAGAAAGTGAGTTGTGAGAGCTTCTGGATTTTGAACCTCTTCTGCTCTGGGTCTAAGGGTGAAATTGCTTCACTAGATAGGATCACAGTGTATGAGAGTGTACTGGGTGATTCCAATCTTGGGAAGTAAGAGTGTTGAGTGTTTGTTTTGTAAAAGAGCCAAGTCACTTGGCTTGGCTAGGGTTCTTTGTGTTGATCGACTTTCTTTTGCTAAATTAATACAAGTTTCTTCAGTTTTCGTCATAAGAAAAACTCAAAACCTAAATATCTTGTTGAGTGAATCTCACTCATTGACTTTACAATTGGTATCAGAGCCTACTCTTTGAGGGATTGATCATCGCCAAACAGAAGGTCTTGGGATGTCAGGAACTTCATCAAATGGAGTTGCATATTCTGCAAACACCAATCATCCGTGGTTTGATGTAACGGATTACACCGTTTGGAAGAAAAGAATGCGAATATATCTTCGTGGAGTCGACGGGGAATTGTGGGCCGTGGTGAGAAAAGGGCCAATTCCCATGGAAGATGAAGATGAAGAAGACTGGAAAGAAGAACAAAAAATCTCTTCTCAACTCGACTCCAGAGCAATGCATATACTATATTCAGCACTAAGCCCTGAAGAACGGAGTCAAGTAGCTCAATGCGAGTCAACCAAGGAGATTTGGGAGTCTCATCAGACCACCCATAAAGGTACGTCTGAAGCTAAAGAAAGTAGAATAGATGTATTGCTAAATGAATATGAATCATTTGAGATGAGCTCAGGAGAATCAATCTCAAGTATGTACAAAAGATTCAATGACCTGATAAATCGGTTAAAAGGACTGGGAAAAGTTTTTGAAACCAAAGATTTAGTCAGAAAAATTCTAAGATGCCTTCCTAGAGAATGGTTGCCTAAACGTACTGCTATTGAAGAAGCTAAAGATCTGAAGGCACTATCTATAGAAAGACTAGTAGGATCCTTGTTGAGTCATGAGGAAGTTATAGTACAAATGAACAAAGATGATCATAGGAGAAGAAAAGTTATAGCTTTCAAGGCACAAGAATGCGATAGTGATTCTGAAGTAGACATGGGAGAGGAATTTGAGAAGGAATTTGCTCTAGTCAGTAGGAAATTTCATCGAATGCTCAAAATGAAAAAGGATTTTCAGGCAAAAAGGTCATTTCATGATTCAAGAGGTTTTAATAATAATCATTCTTATGATTACAAAAGAGATAGGGAAGGAACTGAGAGAGCATCTACTAAGACAAATGAAAGATATGCACCAAATAGGAGTTATTTTGAAAAACATTCTCCAAAGTCTTATGATAGATTCTCTGAAGGTCGAGATAGGCTTAAATTTGATAAGGAAGACGCTAAGTCTTCCAATGAGAGGGATTTAACAATTTGCTTCAAGTGTGGTAAACCAGGACATATGAGATCAAAATGTCCTACCAGCAATTAAATGAAAGAAAAAGCACTTGTAGCATCTTGGAGTGACTTCAGCTCTGAAGAGGATGAAGAGGTAAAAAATTTGGCGTACATGGCTTTTGCAACCAAAAGTGAAAGCGACAGTCAATCCTCAACCAGCCATGATCAGCAATCTCCCTCATGCTACCAGGTAATTTCTGACTCAGAATCAGAAACAGAAAATGGAACTAAATCGAATACTGAATTTTTACATGAGCTAGCAAATCTTCAAGAGGAGTGTAACAGACTCAAAAGTAAGTACTGCATGTTAATGACTGATAATCAGGCGCAAAAAGATGAGATTTTAACTTTAACCATATCCTTAAATGTTCAAACCGAATGGAATAAGAAACTAAACAAGGAGGTATTTGATCTTAAAAATGAAAATCAAAGGTTGAGAAGTTTATGCAAGATCAACCCAAGCCTTGTTAAGAAAGATCACAGCATGCTGAGTTGTGGCTCTTACATAAGAAAATACTCTCAAAGAAGGGTCACTAAGCATCATGATGAATATAACAAATATTCAAGATATCCTGTAATTTTCACATGTTCCTACTGCCATAGAAAAGGACATGTAAAAAGGTTTTGTTATGATTTAAACCCCAGAAAGCCAGTTGTATCCAAAACATTTTGGGTACCAAAATGTGCTAATCTATGATTGAATGCAGAGTTTGGGAGAAAATGAAAACACATGGTTTCTGGACAGTGGTTGCTCCCACCACATGACAGGTAAAAAGGAGTTATTTTCTACTTTAAGCTATAAAAATGGTGGTAAGGTGGTATTTGGAGATGATCGTGTAGGAACAATTGGTAAGAAACCTTTCCCCATTATCAATGATGTGCTGTTTGTCAAGGGTCTTAAACATAACCTTCTTTCCATCAGTCAATTATGCAATTCTGAAAACAGGGTTGTGTTTGAATCATCTTTATGTGAAATTATCAGAATAAGTGACAACAAGCTACTGTTTAGTGGAACTAAACTAAACAATATGTATGTAGTAAACCTGAACTGTTTAAAAACATTCAATGAGACGTGTTTTCAAGCTAAGCATTATGATCTTGAGATGCTTTGGCATAGAAAACTTGGTCATATAAGTCTTCCTAAATTATCACAGCTCTCTAGATCAAAATCTACTAGTGGAATTTCAAAATTAAAAGAAAATTCAAAATTCTTCTGTGATGCATGTGTTGGAGGTAAATTAGTGAAAAAGAATTTTAAATCTAAAAGGGATATCACAACCTCTGAACCATATGAGCTGATTCATATGGACCTCTTTGGACCAACCAATGTGGTAAGTCTAGGAGGTAAATCTTATGCACTGGTTATTGTCGATGATTTTTCTAGATATACTTGGGTATACCTTCTTGCATGAAAGGATGAAGCCTTTATCCACTTCAGAAATTTTTTGAATCTAATACTGAATGAATCCAAAAATGGCATTAAATCAATTAGAAGTGATAATGGAGGTGAGTTTATTTCTAAACAATTCAGTGATCTGTGTAATGACAGAGGAATAAATCACACTTTCTCAGCTCCTAGAACACCACAACAGAATGGTGTTGTTGAAAGAAAGAACAGGACTATAATTGAAACTGCAAGAACAATGTTGCTAGAGTATGGTACTCCTAAGTTCCTCTGGGGGGAAGCAGTAATGACTGCAGTCTACGTGATAAATAGAGTGTTAATCAGGAAAACCATTGACAAAACTCCCTATGAAATCTTAAAACAAAAAACACCTAACTTAGGATATTTCCATCCTTTTGGATGTAAATGTTTTATATTAAACACCAAGGATCACCTATATAAGTTTGATTCAAAATCAGACCAAGGAATCTTCCTAGGTTACTCACTTAAAGGGCAGGCCTACCGAGTCTACAATCTCAGGTCAAAAAGAGTTGAAGAGTCAGTATTTGTGAAATTTGATGAAACTGGAAGTACTGACAAAATTTATGCAGACAATATAGACTTTTTATTTCCAGTGTCAAATGAAAGGGAAATGTATGAAGAACATGGTGAAGACTCTCATCAAGAAACAACTAAGGAGAACAAGGATGAAACAAGTGATGAGCTAAAAATAGAAGAAGAAAAGAAAGCTCCACCACACATCCAGAAGTGACATCCCTCTTCACAAATCATTGGACAACTCAATGCAGGGATTCATACCAGAGGTAAATATCAACCAGGTCAGTATGCTCTTGTTTCCTTGTTGGAACCTAGAAACTACAAAGAAGCATTATTTGATGATAAATGGTTGGATGCTATGCAAGAAGAACTTATACAGTTTTCTAGACTACAAGTGTGGGAACTTGTTCCTCGTCCTCTTAACAGACTAATCATTGGTACAAAATGGGTTTTTAGAAACAAAACAAATGAGGAAGGGGAAGTTACTATAAATAAAGCTAGACTTGTGGCACATGGGTATTTACAAGAAGAAGGAATAGATTTTGAGGAATCTTTTGCTCCTGTTGCGCGAATTGAATCAATTAGAATGCTCTGTGCTTATGCATGTTTTATGAAAATTCCTCTTTCAAATGGACGTAAAAAGTGCATTCCTAAATGGAGAACTAAAAGAAGAAGTATATGTGAGTCAACCACCTGGTTTTATTGACGACAAATATCCTGATCATGTTTACAAATTGTCAAAAGCTTTATATGGACTAAAGCAAGCCCCTAGAGCATGGTATGAAAAATTGTCCTCATTCTTGAAATCAGAAGGCTTTAAACAAGGAAATGTAGACAAAACACTCTTTATCAAAAAGGAAAACAATGATACACTAATAGTGCAAATCTATGTAGATGACATAGTGTTTGGATCAACTAATCCATCCATGAGCACTGAGTTTTGCGATATGATGAAGTCTGAGTTTGAGATGAGTATGATGGGAGAATTATCTCATTTTCTAGGACTTCAAATTAAGCAACTAGACTCAGGAATATTCATCAGTCAAACTAATTACACTGAAGCAATGCTTAAGAAGTTTGATATGGATTCAGTAAATTCTAGCACTACTCCCATGGCAACTAACTTAAAACTAGACAAGGATGAAGGTGGTACCCCTTTTTGTGAAAGAAAATACAGAGGAATGATAGGGTCCCTTCTTTACCTAACAGCCAGTCGACCTGATATCCCATTTAGTGTAGGGTTGTGTGCTCGATTTCAATCCAGTCTCAAAGAAAGCCATTACAAAGTTGTTAAAAGAATATTTAGGTACCTCAAAGGAACATTAGACATTGGATTATGGTATCCTCTATCCGACTCATTTGAGTTAATTGGGTAGAGTGACTCAGACTTTCGAGGAAGCCTAGTAGATAGAAAAAGCACTACTGGAACTATTCAATTACTAGGTTCATCACTTGTATCCTGGTTCAGTAAAAAAACAGGGAGCAGTAGCATTATCTACTGCTGAAGCAGAATATATGGCTGCGGGGAGTTGTTGTGCTCAAATAATGTGGATGAAAGCACAATTATCTGACTATGGTTTTAAATTAAAAGACATCCAAGTATGTTGTGATAATACAAGTGCAATAAGTATGACGAAAAACCCTGTGCAACACTCAAGAACCAAGCACATTGAGATAAAATATCACTTTATAAGAGAACTTGTTCAAGCTGGACATATTGAATTACAATTTGTAGCTACTGAACATCAACTGGCTGATTTACTTACAAAACCCTTGGCCAGTGAACGTTTTCTTCAACTTTGCACTGAGTTAGGTCTAAAATCTTTGGGTCAGATTGAAAATCTTTCCAAGTAAGTATACCATTGGCGTTTCATCTTGTATGCTTTTGTGCACCAAATTATGACTACAAGTTTATCAACCAAAATTGAAAATAAACGAGTTGATTGGTTCTTTTCTCCTCTACACTTTTTGCGTGTCTTGGTTCTACAAAATAGTAGTCCTTTTTTGGCTCATGCTTGTCTCAACTAATGCATCTACAGTTTAGCTAATCATTTCCATTGAAATCCCGCCTGCGGGCGTCTCTTCAGCTTCTCCTCTTATCTTCTCCTCCTCTCTTCTCTTCTGCTCTATATAAAGCCTTACTATTCATCTTCTTCCCTCACACTGCTCCTCTTCACATCCTTCGTGTCAAACACTGAGAGTAAACTCTATCAGCCACTGAAAAGTATGAGTGACCACCTCCCTCGTCCTTTTCGCTTTGATGGTCTGGTCCACACATACTCTGGATATATGTTCCATGAGCCTCTGGTGGTCAACCATCATCGCTATCTGCAACATTTTGACAAAAGGAGGCTGCACCACATCACCCAACTTGACCCTTATGAGTTCAACCTTTACAAATACGATATTGTCTCCCTTATTGAGGGGCTCAGGTGGGATTTCCTTCTTCGTCAGCCAGTTCACCCTGCCTGTCCTGGTACTGTTAAGTACTTCTACTCCAATCTCAAAATCCAAGGGATCAGCTCTAGAAGCCTTACTACTCTTGTCTATGGTCATCTCCTGACCATACCAGTTGAAGCCCTAAATGGCATCCTGGGTTTCCCTTCTCAGGGGATTGGCCTAGCACATCCCTCTGAGTTCTGGAAACATGAGTTCAAGATTGAAGTAGAATATGGAAACTTCTCCACCGAGCCAACTGGCGGCTCAGATGTTCCCATCCCAGTGTCATGGTTGCCTCCTCGATTGAGGATATTTCACCACTTCCTGACTCATGTCCTCTTTCCACGATCCTTCAATCAGGATCGAGTGCTTCCCATGGATCTGTGGATAATTGCTAGTGCCACTGCACGACGCAAGCTGGATTATTCAAGCATAGTTTTTGACCAACTACTTCATGTTGGGGATGAACACTATAGAGGGCTGGTACCATTTGGCTCTCTGATTACTCGCTTACTGATCAACCTTGGGGTAGATCTCTCTGAGTTTCGTAGCATCTCCTCTACCATGTACATCAGTGCACTCAACGTGCTGATGGTGCTGGATCTTCCCACTGAAATCTCTCCCCCTCCTCGTCCTTCCTCCTCTCTTCTCGGTCCTCCTCCTAAACCTTCTACTGTCAAAAGAACCAAATCAGTGGGTGAACCCAGCAAGACTGGGGATCTGGTTTTCACCATCTCTGAAGGAGATTCTTCCTCTGATGACTCTGCTGCCACTGCTCCTGCCTTTTCTCCCGCTTCTTAGTTTTCTAGCTGTTCTTTCAATTTTATGTTGTTCGTTTAGTAGGTCTTGTATCTGATGTTAGGGGGTTTCTAGCTTTTTCTGTTCGTATTTTGGAATTTTGCTCAGGGGGAATTCTGCTCAGGGGGAACCTTAGTTCTTTGTCCTGACATTTTGTACTGCTGTTCTTTTAAGAACGCAATTTGGTGTACTCCCCTTTCTTAATCAATGAATTGTCGCGTTTCCCCGGATTGCTTGTGTTGCTGTTTCTTCTGTTTTCTGTTTTGCAGGGACTTCTTGGATGAAGGGGGAAATTGTTGACACTTAAACGACGTCACATCGACCCAAAACGAAGTCTTCTTGACTCGCTGCCATCAACGCACCTCAACGACGCCGTTTCGATATATCATCCTTCGAAGTCAAAGAGAGGACTCCTCGATCGATGGTCTCTCTGATCATCTCTCTCGATCGCCTCTTTTCCAGCAAGCGCTTCAGCTTTCCAACGATCGTTTCTGCTTTTCAACAGGCAAGCACTGTCTCTATGAGGATGTATGATGAAGACTAAGGAAGGCTCCTTTCTAGGCAACGGTCGCCACTGTCAACATATATATATTGTAAGCCATCTATGTGAGTTGTGAGAGCTTCTGGATTTTGAACCTCTTCTGCTCTGGGTCTAAGGGTGAAATTGCTTCAGTAGATAGGATCACAGTGTATGAGAGTGTACTGGGTGATTCCAATCTTGGGAAGTAAGAGTGTTGAGTGTTTGTTTTGTAAAAGAGCCAAGTCACTTGGCTTGGCTAGGGTTCTTTGTGTTGATCGACTTTCTTTTGCTAAATCAATACAAGTTTCTTCAGTTTTCGTCATAAGAAAAAGTCAAAACCTAAATATCTTGTTGAGTGAATCTCAATCATTGACTTTACAAACTATATCAGTCACGTACAAAATGATTCGCCGTAATACTTCTAATATTACCCTGGACCACTAGTCTCACTATTTCGGGCAACAAGTTTGTGGTTCCTTCAAATTTGGCTACTCACAAGGTGATAAGATCAGGTCACAAATGAATGGAACCAATAGAAGCATGGAATGCACTGAACAAGAGGGAATCTCTCGACAAATTTGAGTGGATTGAGTCAAAAAATTTACCAGCACGAGCTGTAGGCGGATAAATTTTACAGCATTTCATATCACTCTGCTTCATCCGCTAAGGAACTTGTTTTCTACCAACACAACAAACAATATACAAATACAAATGTGGATTATATAACTTAATCTAGCGGAGGCCAAGGGACAGTCATACACCGTGGCCATTCAGAAAGACTGATTCCCCATGTAGAGTCATATCCTGTGACCAATCAGAAAGGCTGATTTCCCTGTTTCTCCGGGAAAACAGGAAACCTGAAAATTTCCAAATCTGAACAATAGCTTCATTCCCGCAGACTGAACCTTCATAGATATAGCTCAAGTCTTGTCATTTGTTGTGCCCCATGGTCAAGCATCGGCCATAGGGTAACGATGGTCTGCCCACTTGGGGAATGCACGTTTGTCTCTCCAGAAAACTTCAACAGGCTGTAAGCATAACATGGCATCATCAATCGCAATAATACATGGATTTCACAAGCTAAACCACATAGACTGAAAATCGACGAGGCATTGATAGATAACTCGTTACGTTCTATTACCTTGAACCATCTAACATCTTCTGGGTTATGGAACATGTATCTTGCAGTGGCCTTCCGCTTTGATATCCTTTGAGAATAGCTGCAGCAGAACAACATCGATGGACAAACTAAATTTACCATAATCAAGAAGACACACCACAGTAAACATAAAGTAATTTCAACTCCGAGAACAATAAGGAACAAAGTATTGCAACCCCAGTTAATATAATCTTCAAAATTATCCTATCCAGGCTGCTTATAAAAAAGAACACTATAATGTAATATTGTCGAACTGTAGCAGAAGGAAAATGGAGAATACAGGAAAATTAAATCTTCAATTTACCGCAACTCTATCAAGCTGTCAGTTCCGATGGTCAAGCACATATTTCAGAACCATTTAACACTGGAACTCTAGGTCCATCTTTCCCAACCATCACAACTCATTAAGCAATGGAGTATATAGTGTATGAAAAGGACAAGACTGAGAAGAATCTATATGTACCAGTAAATCTGTCTGGTACGATAATCCCCCCAATCATATACAGATTCTGGTGTTTCGGGATGTTGGACAAGATGAAGTTCAGAGAGAAGTGGTTATGCAGCAGACAAAAGATCCTCTAATTCAACCCCAGATACCCGATACTGCCTCATTCAAGTGGAGGATATATTTCAATAAGAGGCAGTACCTATGCAGATAACTAGCCTCACTTCACTTTGGGTATTGGGCAGCTTCAGCAATATTCGACCTTCATCATAATGTGCTGACAACCCAACCAGTGATTGGATGCTGCTTTCGCATTCTAAACTTCTTGCGCGAACCACTTTGCAAGCGCTCAAGCACTGCATAAGTAATTGAATCGGGTGATAGGCCATTCTGTTTAAGTTTTGCATACAAATCCACAGCTTCAGCAGTTTTTCCACTCCTCTCAAGACAGTCGAGCAGAATGTTGTATGTCACAATATTAGGGTAGCAACCTTCATCCAGCATCTCATCGAACAGTTTGCATGCCATCTCAACTTTCTCTGTCTTGCCAAAGCACTCTATGAGAGTGCTATATGTCACAACATCAGGGTTCAATCCTTTTTCCCTCATTTCTCTGAATTTCATGTGAGCTGCATCAACATCACCATTCTTCCCAAGACAATTAATCAATGAATTGTAGGAGATAATATCCGGTACACACTCGCTATTCTCAAGTTCTTCAAATATTCTTACAGCGTCGTCAACCTTCCCCACCCTACCAAAGCTTGAGATCAGAATGTTGTAAGTGAAAGTGTCCGGTGAGGGCCCTTTGTTTTTCATGGTTTCATACATATCGTGAAGATGAGGTATCTCCTTCCATTTTCCAAGTGCAGAGAGCACCATATTATACATCATTGTATCAGTATCAACCCCTTTCTCGGGAAGTTTGCCTAAGAGATCGATTGCCTCAGTTGTTTTACCAGCACTACACAAACTTTCCAGCATGGAAATGCATGCATCTTTATCACCTTTGTCATGAAAGCTCCACATGTTGCAAAAGAATCGGTGTGCCTCACTTGCATGGCCCAGTTTACTGAGCGTTCTCACGAGGTATGCATAAATTGATCTTGTCATGTATTTCTTTGATAATTCAACCATCTCATCCAGCTTATGAAGCTTCCCAACTGCAGCCAGGAGATTGAGGAGGAGATGATATGTGTATTCGTTTGGGCGACAGCCCTTCTCCACCATCTTAGAGAAAAGTAAAATAGCCTTGTTGACATTTCTGCTACTTGTGAGTACCTGAAGCATTGTATTATAAGCAACTATATTAGGAGAATAGCCCTTGTTTAACATTTCTTCAAAGAATGTCAATGCTCCATCATGTTTGCCCGTCTTCCCACTCAATTTGATCATAATTGTGTATGTGTACTCATCGGGCGCACAATGGTTCCTTTTCATATCCTCAAACACCAAACAGGCCTCGTTTATCTGTCATAAAGCTATATATCAGAAAATTAGGATACATAGAGCACCACAAACATTGGTTGGAAATAGTGACCAATAAGAAAAGCAAGAGACAGAACCTAACTAAAAACAAAAGCAAGTGACAGTATATCAATATAAAGTATAAACTGGCAATACGATCCAAGTTTATTTCAGCCAGTCCAAGCTATCATTCAATTTTCAAAACTCAACTGAAGGGGGGAAAAGAGAGGAAAGGAAAAAGAGGCCAAACCTTATCATCATTTGTCAAAGCATTCAAGAGCATATTGTAAGCAAAAATATCAAGCTTGTACCCTTCAAGCTTCATCTTCTCATAAACCCTAAACCCTTTCACGCTATCACGAGACCTTAAATACGCTTGGACCAAACACTTATACGTATAGGCTGTCATTTCCAAGTCCCAATTCTTCAACAGCTCAATGCAACCCTCCAAATCCCTGCCCTCCCCAAAACATCCTATCAATATGTTCACCGTAGAGATGGACCCACGAACCCCATTCTTCCGCATCTCGGAAACCATCCCCCTAACAAGCTCCAGCTTGTTGGGAAGATTGGACCTTGAAATGATGAGGATGAGCCGTGTGTATGTGAAGCAATTGTGCCGAAATTTGGGGCAGAGAGAAGGGCAGATCCGGAAGAATTTGATGGCAAGTGAAGCGGAATTCAGAGATTTCATAATTTCACAGACTTCATTAGAGGTAAGGACGATGGAGAGGGAAGAGAGGTAATCTTCAAGGTGGAGAGCAGGGTTGAGCTTCGGTCGAGCGGAAGAAGGGTGACAGTTGTCATGGTCAGATTGACGAAGGAGTTGTGTCACCTTACAAATGAGGTGGCGGCGAGGGAGGGGATACCCCCGGGGGTCGAGAGGATGGGCTGGAGAGACCTCAGCAGAGAGCACACGGCCTGTTGAAGATGCTGAGGTGACTTTGGCAGTGTAGCTTGTGGAATAACGCCGGCAAGTTATGCCCTGAACTTTCCTAACAATGTGAAAATAGCTCGTAGAGCACATCCCTATTGATGCTGCATGATTCTTCTGAAACCAAACAAAGATGCAGAAAGATCAGATGATAATGAGAGTAACCCCAGCTCAAACCTGTTTGCAAGCAAACACTTGAAAGTGCAACAAGAGAAGACCATTGCTTTAACCGGAAAGGAAAGGCTTGATGCTGCTCTGCTGCTCCTTTAACACAGAATCCGCAAAATGAGCTGCTCCTCTGCTCCGCTCAAGCTTCCCGAACAGTTAACCTTAACACAAACAAAATCCCAAATTCAATTCAACAAATCCCTAATCAGAACTCGGCAAACACAAAGTCACAAACCAATTTTAACTTACCCTTGCCCTAACCTGTAGTCGAGAACAGCGAGCAGGGAAGCTCCGACGACGAGGAGTTGGAACGCCGCGCGTCGGCCGCCGTCAAGGCGGGTGAGGATGGCACGGTGCTGGGTCGGGGAAGCAGGATTCTCGTCTTCTCGGCGTGGTGAGGTGGAGACAGAGAGGAGTGAGGACGAAGATGGAGACTGGAGAGAAAGGAGAAGCTCCGTTCGCGCGCGCGGCGAGAGGCAGCAGAGGGAAAAGAGATCACAAAATAGGGTTGGGGCGGGTTTGCTAATCAAAGCGGTCGCTTTGCTGCTGTCACTAGTTGGGCTTCCGGTTAGCTTGTTTACCGACGGTATTTGACATCATATGGTGAATTCATTTGGACTGCTCACAATGATGCCGGAGTAGCCCTGCAGGGCCATGGTTTTATACGTTGTTGCTCACAATGATGCCGGAGTATGCACCAAAGCAAGAGGAACGGGTTAGCATGCTAACGGGTCCGGATACTATAACAACACTCATGGTATTGTTATAGTAACAACAGGGGTAAAAACGAGAACTCGCTAAAAATATTAAATTAGAAATTAAAATAAAATAAACAAAGACCCCAAACCCTATCAGATTTCTGTCTTCTTTATCCCTTCGCTTCCTCTTTCTTCCGGCGCCGAAGCCGATTCAAACCAGTCTGCAGCAGCAGAGCTTCACGACCACCACTGTCGACGGCGGCATGACGAGTTCGTCGAAGGGAACATGCGTTCCAACGGCGTCGCCCAAACTCTGACTCTCCCATGCTGCCCGGCCGCGAGAACTCCAGATCTGGCGCTTTCAATCGCGGGGACAAAGCAGGAAACATAGAATCATCGAAGGTAGGGATCGAAATCGAGAGCGGCGGTGGTGGGAAAAGAATAAGCAGTTATCATGCGGAACTACTAAACACAACAGCAGGGCATTTTCTCCGGCGATTGATTTGAATTTCTACAACACTGCTCTCCGGTGGTTATTACGATTGATCGGGAGATCTTTCCATGGAGTCATCATCGTCGAACTTGTGTCCACTCGCAGAGGAAAGCTCGGAAGATGAGCAGCAGCGAATTCCCAAGGCACAAGACTGTGAATCCCCAAAGCCGCCGCCGCCGGTCTCTGCCTTCGCCTCCGTTCCCGATCTCCCTGCTTCTCAGTGAGTTCCTGTCCTGGCCTTCTTGCTCGAAACGTTTTTTTTTTTTTCGTTCGGGAGGGAGCGATTCGTTCGTTAGATTCCAGATCCAACCACAAAGTTCATTTTACAAGTGTGTGAGAAAGAAGAAGGGAAGTGGGTTGGGGGTGTGGGAGAAAGAAGCATGGCAACAGTGTGGTTCTCACTGAAGAAATCTCTGCACTGCAAATCAGAGCCAGCAGATGTGCACGACCCAAAATCCAGGAAGCAATTGAGCACAATCTTGACCAGAAAAGCTGGTGGTGGGAGGTCCGGGTGTTCAAGGTCAATAGCCAATCTGAAAGATGTCATCCATGGAAGCAAGAGGCACATGGAGAAGCCACCGAGCTGCAGCCCGAGATCCATAGGCAGCAGTGAGTTCCTCAACCCAGTAACCCACGAAGTGATTCTGAGCAACTCGAGGTGTGAGCTCAAAATCACTGGCTTTGGTGGTGGCGGTGGGTTCCAAGAAGGGTCTGGTGGTGGTAATTTGAGATGCAATTGATAGTGCTGTTTTGGGAAGTGATAGTGCTGTTTTGTAGTCTGTTCTATGTAGCTTTTGAGATGCAATTGTGTTTTTAGCATCAATCTTATTTCTCTCTTTATCAAATTGAAATAATTGAAAGTGGCCATATTTTTATGATTTCCGATCCTCAAGTTCATTAGAATGCACGCCAAATATCGTCTAATGCAAACCAAAAATCTCTTGAAACATCGTCTAATGCAAACCAAAAATCACTTGAAACGTAATAGAAATGTCATAAAGCATACCATAATTATTTCTAAAGCGTGCCAGAAACTTTCAAAAATAGGCCACTTATCACCTAAAACATACCAGAAACCCCACGAAGCAAACCACACTTATTTCTAAAGCACACCGGAAACCTCCTAATACATACCAAAAAACTTCTTATGCAGACCGCAAATTCCCTAAAACAAACCAGAAACCTCACAAAGCAAACCACAGAATTTTCAAAAGTACATCAGAAACCTCATAATGCAAACCACAAACACGATAAAGCAAACCACAAAAACAAACCAGAACTGTCCTAATGCAAACAAAAAATCTATTAAAAAAAACCAGAAACCTCGCAAAGCAAACTACAAATATATTAAAACAAACCAGAAACCTTGCAAAGCAAACCACAAAAGTTTCGAAAGCACACCAGAAACTTCTTAATGCAAACTATAAACCTTCTAATTCAGACCACAAATCCCCTAAAACAAACCAGAAACCCCACAATGCAAACCACAACATTTGCGAAAGCACACCAGAAACCTCATAATGCAAACCACAAACACAGTAAATCAAACCACAAAAAAGCAAACCATAAACGTCCTAATGCAAACCACAAATATATTTAAACAAACCAAAAACCTCACAATGCAAACCACAAAGTTTTTGAAAGCAAACCAGAAACTTCTCAATGCAAACCACAAACACGATAAAGCAAACCAGAAACTTCTTAATGCAAACCACAAACACGATAAAGCAAACCACAAAAGGCTTACAAAAATATGAGAAACCAAACCATAAATCTCACAATGCAGACCATAACATCCGGTGGTCGTTGGCCGTTGACCGGTCAACGAAGATCGTTGACCGATCAACGAAGTTCGTTGACCAAACTCCGATGACCGTCAGTGAGTAGATTCCGGCGCCGATAGGCATATTCCGACCCCGATGACTAGATTCCGACGCCGGTAAGCATATTCCGACCACGGTGAGCATATTCCGGCGACGGTGGCATATTTCGATGACAAAATAGCATATTCCGGCAACAAAAAGGCATATTCCGGTGACCGGCGACAATTTTCCGGCGACCGGCGACCGATTTTTTGGGCAGAAAAGAAAAAAAAATATTTTTTAATTTTTTTTAATTATTTTATTTTTTTATTATTTAAATAGATTTTTCATAATGACAATTATACCCCTGCTTTGATTTTACACTAGGTCAACTCATCTAATAAAAAGTCATCACAATCCTAGCTTCCTATTGGTTGGAGACTAGTATTGTTACAATAACAACACAATGAGTGTTGTTACCGTAACTGGTCCCCATGCTAACCCCTTAAGGTTGGTTTTTTTACACCCCTTTTAATTGGTTAATTTTTCATTAATTATTGACAAGTATTAATGAAAGTAAACATAATAAATGTTCTGTTATTAAATACAAAGTAAGCATTAAATACACCACATTAATTACCACTTTACTAGTATTTGTACCAATGCACTGATACTCAGATATGACATTGCTACCAATGCACTGATATCGCTACCAGTGCAGTGGTATATCTACCAGTACAGTGGTACAACGTATCAGTGCAGTGGTATATCTACCAGTACAGTGGTACAACGTATCAGTGCAGTGGTATATCTACCAGTACAGTGGTACACCGTAACAGTGCAGTGGTATATCTACCAGTACAGTGGTACACCGTATCAGTGCAGTGGTATATTTTTTGGAGGTGGTCGGAGGGAGTCTGTCGATGGGATTTTCACCGGAGAAGTGTGGCGGTCGGAGGAAGTCTGGTGGTCGGAGACTGCTGAAAAAGGAAAAATCAAATACAGTGAGAGAATTCCTAATGTGTATTTAATGTGTGTATTTAATTTCTAATGTGTATTTAATAGTGAGAGAATTCCTAATTAATATGGTACATTTAATTCTTAATGTGTTTTTAATGTGTGTATTAAATTCTATAGTTGTATTTAATATACTAGGGGTGTCATTTTTCCAACCCCTAAGGCGGTTAGCATGCTAACCGACCCCAAACTCAAAGCTTGTAAAGATGTAAAGGGTGCTTCACGCTCGCTCTCCTTGCATTCAAGACGCAAGCTTGCTTTTCTAGGCACGTCCTCTACCTAGTTTCTTGTATTATACAAACCGATTGGGGGTTTCTTCACACTGCAGGTGTTACATATTCGTGTTGTTTCTTCACAGAAGTACATACGTAACTTTCCTGGTTGCTACGTTTTACTGTTTTGGCCTGCTCTGAGCTCTCTAACATTTTTATGGATAGTTAGCATAAAAGGTCACAAACCTATTTATTTTGTACAAAATGGTCACAAACCTTTAATTTTGCACGTTTTAGTAACATACGTTTGAGAGAATAACGAAATAGTCATTCCGTCCATCCCGTCCAAAAAACCGTTAGTTTTATCCAGTCAGCACGCCACATCACTTAAAATACTAATAAAAAAGTTTAATAACCAAATCCAATTGAACCGCACTGCGGACTGCCCAACCAAAAATCCTAACTCTGTACCACCCAAAATCTTGGAGACTAGTTAGTAAAAAAAATGTTGGAGGGTTGTCCGCCCAGGACGCGTTGCCGATATCCAGAATCCAACAAAGGGTCGTCGATAGCTTCTCCCGTCGTCCCCAGAATCGCACCCACAGAACAGTCTCCCGTCGCCGATAGCTTCTCTGGATCGCGTCTCAGGCCGAAACCAACGAAGGGTTGCCGCCCTGGTTGCGTCGCTAACGAGAAGTTTCTGAAAGTCTCCGATCTCATTTTCAATCTTGGCCGCATGGTTCTCAACACCTTTCCCTATTCCATTCAAGAACTCCGGAATCCCTACTTTCACTGCAACATAAATTAACAACAAGTAACTGTTCTGTTCTCCCTTTATGAAACCTAAAGCTATGAAGCTAACAAAATTCCCAGCTTATCATGAAGCAAGCCATTCTAACACAATCTCATTCAAGCCTTCCCAGACCAATTACCAATGATCGAGAAAACACCCATCAAATACAAAAAACCAGAAATTATCTACATCGCTCATCCGGGAAACCATTAGCGAAAGCAATAGACAATTCAGCTAGGAGATTCGATTTGAGCAGGGGAAAGAGGCGGCGACCCTTCGTTGGTTTCGGCTGGCGACGCGACCCGGAGAAGCTATCGGCAACCCTTCAATGGTTTTTGGCTATCGGCGGCGCGACCTGGGAGGTGTCCCTTCGCTGATTCGCTCTGTTGGGTGGTATAGAGTTATGGCTTTCGGTTGGGCAGTCCGGTTCAATTGGGTTTGCTCATCAAAGTTGTTATTAATATTTTAAGTAACGTGGCATGCTGACTCGACAAAATTAACGGTTTTTCTGGATGGAGATGGACGGAATGATCATTTTGTTATTCTCTCAAACGTATGTTACTAAAACGTGCAAAATTAAAGGTTTGTGACCGTTTCCTACAAAGTGAATAGGTTTGTGACCGTTTATACTAATTACCCCATTTTTATGTTCTATATATACTCTCAATTACGGTACTATATATAATATATATGCTCAAATATAGTGAAACTGATATCTCTTACTCGTGGATTACTCGTGGATTAGTTAACATGAATCATGTTAGTGAGCCACTTAAATCTAGGTGTTCTTTACTTTACAGCATTGTCAATTTTATAATTCGTTACAACACCGATCTGATAGAATCCCACCCCTCCTTACCGACAACTTATCAACTTTGGTATTGGAACAACTCAATCTCCATGAAGGGCCAAAAATGGTGTACATCAAGTTTAATTACAATGATCAGATCATCTTACTAAAAAAAGAATACAACATACAATCTCTGTCTCTCAAACCTGTCTCTTAGAGAGGTAAAGCTGAGACAATAGGTCTGCTAGACATGCTCTTAGAAATCCTAGAACAAAACATGAACAACAATAGGACTGATGACAACAAAAATAGCCTAAAATATGTTCTTATTTCCTGCATTCCTAGATCCAAAACCTCTATCTTCTTCCCATATCTATTCTTTCTCTCCATCAAGTATCCATCAAGATACTCGTCGATTGATACAAACTTCTCCTGGCCTGATGCAGCTGCCTTCGAATGGGCTTCGTCCATGTGGTTTGGTCCTGTTTTGAAAATCTCAAAGAATGCAGCCGACCAATCGTTGAGAACTCTCTGAATCAGAATGAAGGAAAACAAGCAGAGGCATTTCCTGAATCAGATCTAGAGTTCCTTAAGTAGGTACTAGGTAGAAAACTGAAAAGGAAAAATTAGGTTAGCCAATCACGTACATTGAAGGTAGCATGATCAATAGGATTGAACATTTTGAAACAGTCCTTTGCTGAAGCTGTGGAATCCCCATACATCTGCCAATGATAAGGAACATCAATCAACTAGTGTAAAGAAAAGACCAAGTCTAGGAAATCTGCCACTGATCATATAACAAACCTCAAAGGTGAAAGCCATGGGAACTTTCACAACATCGTACATGTAATCTGTTGCTGTGCCATGGGCAAGATACCTAGATACAAACATTATTAACATTAGCCAATTGCCCAAGTTAAGATGTTTCTATCGAGCAAAGCCACTATGAACTGAACAAAGAATGCATACCCAACAGAGCCTCCCCCAGATCCAACCATACAACGATCATAGCAGTGATCTTTGTTCACTCGATTGAGCAATGATCTCATTTTTTGCGAGGCAGATCCTTCGGGCGTCGTGTTCTTGTGATCGTAAGGCATGAACAAAGCCTAAACACGCAAAACAAGCGATTAGGTTGATGAAATTGTGGATAATTTTGGGGACTGATGAACAAACAAACAGTAATACTACTGACTAACCTCCATTCCAGAGTGTACATTAATCCAAACATGAGGATCGAAAGATAAGGCAAGTCTCCGCATTGTTTGGGTTTCAGGCTCACTGAAAGGAGCAGTGCCTGGATTCTCTTCATAAGGATCATAATCCTACATAATTGAACGAGAAGTACCACAATAAGCCAAAAGGCACCAAATGGAAACTGCAGGTGAAGTGAATAAACTACCATTAGAAATTATACTACTAACCTTCTCTTTTTTACCCCAATCAACACTCCAGTTCCTGTTGAGATCAACTCCTCTTCCTGTTTCAAAAAGTGAAACTCTAAGCCCTTTTCACCTCTCAACAGGCAATCATGTCATATCATTTAAAATTTAGGGGCTTTACCGTTCCTCCTCTCACAAAGATCTCCTTGCTCAACAAGTTTTCGGCCATTCAAGTTCTCCACTGGCACCATCTGAATACCACAGCAGAAATTGAGACTGTCAGAAGCTTGCTTGAATGTCAAGTAAGGCACTGATAGCATATTGCTAGATGCTAGGGATGCTCTTTTTATCTAGTGGCAAAGCAAGTTCCAGACTTCTTCCGCATTCCAGTCCTACTGAATCCAGGTATATTTATTGCACCTTTGTCCGAACTAAAAAGCCTACTTGCAAATGCATAGTACCAATTTAGGATTGCAGAAGTTCTTACCTTGATGACAAGCTTGTCCAGGGTGCTGTTGAAAGCATCGCGATCCACATTAGGCAGGAACTGTTCCTCACTCAATATAGATAAGATCCGAAGTGCGAGCTCCGTGGTAACGAGTTCTCTTCCATGCTGCCCAAAACTCTGGAAGACAATGAATCATCTGTCAAAAAAACCAGCAAAAGAATACACTGATCTGAGATCGATCTAGTCCCACTTACATATTTATTATCATTTACTCAAGAAAGCGGGGTTTAAACCAACTCCCATTTTCTACACTTTGGGACTTACCAGAAGAATCCGAAACTTGGACCGGTCATCACCGTCCTTGATCGAGCTTCTGGAGTAAGTAACTACGGTCATCTCTGCTTGGTAGCCTTTGTTCCCATTGGCTATGGTCTCCATCTACAAACAGGGAGAAACCCAGAGAAACATGAATTCAGTAAACATTTCCCAATTCAATGGAGCCATAACTCTCAAAAGAAACAAACTTGACTGCTTACGGTGAGCTTGTCAGGGTGACGATGAACCAACGAATTAATCTGCTCCAATAAATCAGAACTGCAGAGCGAACCCAAAAAACAATATCACCTAACATGTTTAAAAAAATGGAAACTGCTCTCGAAAACAGAGGAAGATGACCGACAAAGCAAACAATGTCGCGGCTTCTGGGTTTCTGTGTCGCAATACGTCGAACACGAGGTAGGCAGGACGGAAACCCCCGGGACAATTTTGGATCTCTGGCCAGAGAATACCCTTTTTCTCTTTTGTTTTCCCCCCTGGAAATCTGAATGATTCGAATCTGGAGAAGCGATGAAGGTTTACCTGGAATGGTAGAGATCTCGATTGATGGGCGTGATGGCGATGTCATTCTCCTCGCTGGATACGGAGGAGAAGCAGGCGAACATAGAAAACGAGGAGAGGAGGAAGAGGAAGGACCAGAGAGAAGCCATGGAGAAGAAGGAGTCCCAGATGGCACCTTTACTTCCTTTCTTTACTTCTTCTCATCTGAAAACGTGTTCTTTTTTCCGGGCAAACCAGAAAAGGGGGCTGAAACTGAAAGGAAAATACCGAAGGAGGAAGGCGGAGAAGGAAGAAAAAAGAAAGAAAGAAACGAAGGCACGATTCGATCAATATCAGTGTTTTTCTGGATGGAAAGGGGTCTCTTTTTTTTCTTCGACGACTATTATTCTTGAAATTCTCTATTGTATTGTCTGTCTGTCTCCCCACTTGTATTTTTCCAAACAATCTATACAGGGGGCACGGCTCTGAAAATTAATTATTTTTAGGACTTTGATTGGTCTTGAGATCTTCCCGTAGCAAAAGAAGATGAGTCAGACGGGAGTGTGAGAGAGACAGGAGACTAACTGACTGAGGTGTCAGAGAGTGAGAGGGAAGGTGGATTATCTCCTAATCATGTTTCTTCGATCCAGATCGAATCGGGAGACAACAAATGAACATTAATTAGCAGAAATGCTTTAATGATTAGTTTAAAAAAAGCCTTTTACTAGTTTGAGGATTAGTTTAGAAAATTTTCTAGCCGTTGTAAAACTAATGAAAATATAAACAACTAATGAAAATATAAACAACTACAAGAGAAGATTAGAGAGACAAAGACACAAGAGAAGAGAGGGGAAGAATTTTTCTTATTCATTCTTCACTTTTGATACAATGGTGTGTTATATTTATAGGCACATTTTGGTAACCACTACATCCTTATATCAATGCATATGAATGAGAGATAATGATGTAGAAATAGGGGTTACATGTAACTCCCAAGTGAGCATCTAATGTGGTAGGTCATTGGTCATCCATATATCAATATTTACATAATACTCCCCCTTGGATGACCACTATATTGCATTACGCTATCTCATACTGCCTCGTTAAAAACCTTACCAAGAAAACCCATTGGGAAAAAACCATGGTCAAGGGAAAAAGAGTGCAGTGCGTATATGCTCCCCCTCATGACCACATCACTTCAGATTATTGAGTCGTTGAACTCAAATTTCACGAACAACTTTTAGAAAGATTGTTGTCGGGAGTGAGTTAGTGAACAATCTTCTAGATTGTCAATTTGATGCATGATCTTTAGATTTTCTTCATACATGATCGTCATGATCATTTCATTTGAAAATAGTTCACAACCACAAGTACTTGAGATATGGTGGATCACAAAGTGTAACGAAAGACATTCAGGACTTGCCCATTATAGTTTGTTTTGTTTCTTTATGAAACATTTATATCACCATATGTAAGAGATAGCTCGTCTCCGATCAACCAATATGAGGATCAAATGATATATATGATTTGGATATATAGTTTACCAAATCTCTCTTTGATAATACCATAATAGAACAATCGCATATATTGTTCCCGGAGGTAACAAAGTATTTTCCAATGTTCTAATGAGGGAAACATTGTATCTTGCCAATATTATCAACACCAAAATGATAGTTTATATGATGCTTGGCTAGCAAGGTGCATTGGTGCTCTAATGCATCAACATATGGTACTTCAAGACCTAATGTTTCACTTCTTTCTTGATTTCTAAATGGATCTTTGGTCACTTCTAGTGATCGTAGGATCCTAATGTTATTTGGTGAACACAATTCGTTCATGCAAAATTATTTTCCCACTTTTTCAATATTACATTCCTTGCCCATAAAAAGGATCTTAAATCCTTCAATGTAACTTATGTCTCTAAGCAATCAACTGCTTTAGGAAGCTCTTCAGGAGATCCAATAATAGTCATATCATTAACATAATATGAGATCATCACAAAAAACCCTTAACTAACATAAATTGATGCAAGCAATTCTTTCATATAACAAAAGATAATAACAAAACTCACATCATAGAAACATATGAACTAGACAAAGCACACTCAGAAAACACAACTCATACTTAAAGTAAATCACAACTCCTAAATTAAGAATTTAAAATCCTTGAAACACATACAGACAACACAACTATATATGCACAATGCAAATACTCGTATGCACTCTATCTGAATTTAACCTTTTAAGGTACATTCACCCTACTGTTGTAGGTGTTCTCTTAGACGAGTATTTCACATTCGTCTATATTGTCTCAACCAATACAAGGGATATTCTTAGTCTATCGATATATGTTCTCGAGAACTTTACCTTTTTACTTCAGGTAAATTAATCCTTCTAGGAGTAAATTCTTAGTCTATCACAACAATTTTCAAACATTGATTTGAAAAAGTAGTTGCATCCACCACAGGGGAGTATAACTCCTCTTAAACAATGATAGGTCTCTTCGAGAAACCCATTGCAAAACATTATGCGATATCTGTCACAATTTCATACTTTCCAATAACACAAAAATTTGTTTGTATCCCGCTAGTTTTGCCCTTTTTTAGGTGCAAGGACTTCTGGTCCTTAAACTTTATGCTCCTTGAGCAAGTTTCATGATTTCTTTCTATATTGGCCAATAACATCATCATTTGCATGCATCAATAGAGTTTTACTCTTGATCCTCACTTGTACATATCATATTTAGTACTGAAGTACAACAAACAAATTTCATCGACAATGATTTCATTACGGTTCCAGTATTGTAGTCTAATATGGTTTTGAGATCTCTTTGCTTTCACAACTTTCAGAGATATGTGTTCTTCTGGAACTAAAATTATTATTTATTCTTGGTTACTCTTCTTGAGTTTTCATGTCCTCGAGTTGACCATTCTAATTACAGCTCCTTTTCTTTCTCGAGGATGTTTATCATTGGAACCGATTGGTCTATCACGCTTCATGCGCTCTTTCATACACATTTTTTTATATATTAGAGTATCCAACAAGGATATCAAATTTAGTTGGAGCATTCACGGCTAGTATATGTGACTTGGTCACTTCGTATGGCCAGTAAACCCATTTGATAGTTGGTAACGATAATTCATCTTCTGAACTTCAGGTTCATGTTTCTTACTTTGAGGATCAAAATTAGATAATGATAACTCATTCCAACTCATCTCTTTGTCTAGCTGTTTTTTTTTTCTCTCCCCCTTAATGTTGGAAAATTGATTCATCAAAACATTAATTTCGCAAAAAAATTCTCATTTGGGATTCATACCCAACACAAATTCTCAATTTCCAACGAGAATCAACTTAAGATACTGTGGTGGAGCAATTGGGATGTATGCGGCACACCGAGATATTCTCATATGAGAAATGTTAGGTTTCTGACCAAAACCATTTGTAAAAGGAGGGAACTTATGATAACTTGTTGGTTAGATATGAACCAATACTATCACTTGTCAGCTAGCATGTCCTCGACAAGAGACCAGAAGGCTCGGTTTGTTCTCTTAAGCAAAGTGATGTTTGATTGGATAACCATCAAAATGTATTCATAGTGAGGCAATCAATCTCGCAAACATCGGGTTGTGATTAGATAAAATAAAATTGATCATACATTTGATGCAGCAACCATAAAAATTCACAAATGATCCACATGACTGATGTATTGTTCTGCATACACGTCCATAAAATCTCAAGAGATTTGCCAACTCTTATACAAGCGATGATCAATTGTTCTATTCTCCTTGAGAACAAACATGACATAATAACTCTTTTAGTTGAAGAGTTCTTTGACTTCTCATATGATGTTCTCATGAATTCTTAAAGAAATTTTTTTTCACATCAAGATACGGGATGGTCTAACCGGACCAACCAATTATCAAGTTATCAAATCTTGTAAACTTCTGGTTTACACTTTTATGTGTACTGATTGTACTAATATACATGTAGTACATATTTGTGATGCAAATATTAGTTTCACTATTTTCTTGATAAGATATTCATTTTACGAATATCCTTTTAATTGGGTAATGCATCATCACTAGGTAGTTTGGTTCCTTCGGGCCACAAAATTAGCTCCTTTAAAGCTTTACCATATTTTGTACCATATTCCACCCGTCTGGGGACTTATGATTTGATGCATTCTTAGTAAACACAAATTCATAGTGAATATCATCACAAATTGTTATCACGAGTACATAATTTAGTTACTTCAAGTAACCAAACATAAGCTCTTCGGAAGCTTTTTCTCATTTATGTACTCTACCATATAGTTTATATGGAATTTTTCTAACAATCATACTTTACAAAAACTTACTAAAAATAATAAATGAGAATAGTTCAAACTTAAGACAAAAATGATGGATTTATTAAGTTAATTGTTTTAGATAAAAGATATCAAATTAAATTATGTATGAAAAATAAAGTCATGATAAAACTTAAAAGAAAATAAGAATCATAGTACTACAATTGTGAAAATTAAATAAGATTTATTTGGAACAATATCATCACTAACTAGGTGATTTTAAATTTATATATGCTTTTCATTATACATTATAATTTACAACAGGTACATTATGTTATCATGACTTTGATAATGCAATTGTGGTGTTCCTTATTTATAGTTCTCCTTTTACTCCTCTTTTCTCACTTCTGGTGAAAAGATCCAAACAATACATTTAACATATATATAATTATGTTTATAACTCCATTCACTTCGGAGAATAGATTATTTCATTCACTTTTGGAAATAAAAATTTCTCAAATAATATCATTTTCATCTTTAATCGAGAATATACCAACTTATAATAAAAAATATATGTTCCATAATATTGATATTGCAGGAGCGTATATGAATTAGTTTTTCTCTTTGATTCTTGGTAGAATAAGGTCTTTTGCGTACAACGGGTACGAGACAAATGCAATTTCCCATTTCAATGGTAACATACAAAACCAATATTCTTGTTACCATGTCCACTTCTTTCTTTGCCCTTGGATTCTTCAATTTCCACTTCTGGGGAATATATGGGCTCTTGGAACTTGCATTTTCTACATATCAATGTATGATTGATAAGAATAGGATAACACTGAGAACTAAGAAATTAACTCATCACTTATATTACTTTTCTTGTTAATCCAAATAGATCGAAGTGATAAAATATCAATTGATATGAGAAGTAGCACCCATCTTGATATATTGGAATGAGATAATCTCAACACAAATAAGACAATAAGATAAGAAATGATCTAAGATTTACATACCTTGATCATATTGTGATCTTACTAAAATATCTTAGATTATGTCGAGAGTCTTTGAGGCTAAGCAATGATAATTTTGGAAGAGCTTCGTGCTGATAACGTGTTATAAAACTAATGAAAATATAAACAACTACAAGAGAAGATTAGAGAGGGAAAGACACAAGAGAAGAGAGGGGAAGAGTTCTTCTTATTCATTCTTCACTTTTAATACAATGGTGTGCTATATTTATAGGCACACTTTGGTAACCACTACATCCTTATATCAATGCATATGAATGAGAGATAATGATGTAGAAATAGGGGTTACATGTAACTCCCAAGTGAACATCTAATGTGGTAGATCATTGATCATCCATATATCAATATTTACATAATAATAGTTTCAATTTTGGTTGGACGCAAAAACTCCAATCAATCACATGTCAGTTTCTTGTTAGAATTGATCACGAAGCCACGAGATGACAACTCACCTATGTTGTGACTGGATCTCCACAGACAGTGCGTGATGGGCCAAAAACTCCATCTAATGAAATGGGTAAGGGCCCACCTTTCATCCTTTCCCTTCCCATTCTTGCGGGTCCA